ACACTATACGAGATTAAACATCGGCTACGCTCGTAGAGTGAGGCCTCTAACTATATTGAGATGATTGAATCCTCCACTGGCATGAAAAAGTGCCGTATTATCGACGATGCTATTAACTATATTCACGAGTCGAAAATTAACTTTCGATATATGACGGACGAAGTCTAAAGCCTTAGGAGTTAGATTAGCCACCTTAAGAATAAAGCACATACCATGACATCTTAATGGGGATTATAGAATTATAATGTTAATCGAATTAAATATGAATAAAGAGGAATCCTATGTTCACTAGTCTAAGCGTTGTAGACAGCTAGAACGTCGTGGCGGTGACGAAGAACGCAGAGATTTAGTATAAACTATTTCTCTAAGCCTAGAATACTACCTTAAGTTTAGGAAGGATTAATATAGATAATTACGTACTTAGATAGAATTAACTAAGTATTCGACTAAGCGGTAGTCGTATTAGAAAGTCGTCGATTATAAGTCTATTTATCTTCGTAGAGGGATAGAATGATGATAACTTACTTAATATAATAACCACCGTCTTTCTAGATAGCTTCTAGATAATGATTAGTCTATTCTCCGAACTGGCGTCGTTCTTAAGCGCTTAAGTAGCCCTCACTACTCGTTATGAATCATTATTTTCTAATTCGTTTTCTCCTTAATATATCTCTCGGGGATAGGGTCTACGTATTTCCGATGAAAAGAAATCGTAGCGGAAATATAGACATTTCTAGAAACCCCGTTTATTAGCTCATTTATTGCACTTCCCTACTCTGGATATACATATCGATCATCTAAGGTGTTCACGACTAAAGCGTAATCGAGGGAGTCCTAAGGAAGCCGACTTTCCTCTATCATTATTATAAAAGAACCTAATAGTCACTCGAAAGTAAACGATATCGTTTATTCGTCGCCTCTAATCTATCGTCACTATTAAGCTATTAAATATATTTTCTATAACTCTCCTACGTACTAGCCATAAAGATAAACTTAGCCTCATCACGTAGTTACAGCCCGCCTAAGAATTACTCTACTTAAAACTCCACTAGCTAGAACTTATCGTTAATAATTAATGCCTTAGAATCGTTAATAGACGTAGACCTAGAAATAGTAACCTCGCACCGACCTAAAGATCTCTAAGAAGAATAAGGGCATATCATCTAAAAAGTACTACGTGAAACTAAGCCAATGTATTACTTAGAACTGTTTGAAGCGCTTTGGCGGGAAGGGATACCTATCCGCGACTAGAGTCAAAGCCATTAGGAAAGCGGACGCGATACGGAGTCCTGAGTCGGTTGACCTCCTCCAACGAAAACGAGGTCGTTGTCATCTTAGTGTGGACCGATGCCTCGACTAGATTTTGAAACCTGTGCTGAAACCATGCGTGATATCTTGGCGGCTCAAGAGGAAGTAAATCGACGCCGAGCTCACCTCGCGCCTCACCCGACTGGCGCCGCTTTTAAACATCGCTCACCCCCTCTCTCACCCGCCCTCACCTTTCACTCACCTTCACTCACTCACCCTCACCCACGACCTCGCTCTGCCCCCTCGACGACCGTTTTTGTCCTCGCGCTAAACATGGATCCTCAGTCCGTGGCCGCCCAGCGTCACCAATCTCGGAGTCTGGCACGCGGGTCCATAGGTTGGCGTCCCGATTTCCGTCCCGTTTCAAGTAATTTTTTCCCGTGTCAGGGCCTAGCATAAGTACCCGATCCCCCGTCAGCCTTTTATGCGGTTGACATCATCGACTCTGCTCGATTTTCGAAGCGGTAGAATCCTCGCCTTTTCCAGGGAGGGACAGAGCTAATTGGAACTTCCCTTTAGCCTTTCAACCATTCTGCGTAAGTAGATGGTGGCTATTGTCCCCGATCGAGCATTGAAGACATGCCGAACGTGACATGAATGGAGAGAAGGAAAACCTCCGTGAGAATCTATACGGGGCCGAATTACCTGCAATCGGCTTATTTTTAAACCGCAGCCATCATCGCCCCGCCGTTTCCGACTCCCGCCTGCGCTTCGCACGTACCTCACATTCGACAACAATAGCACTTTCCAGCTTCAGCGCTTGACGCTTACCGATATGTCTATTCGCCAGAGAAGCTCTTTGTGACCTCCGCGGACCTTCCTTCTTATCCAGGAGTGGCGCCTACGACCGTGGTTCTCCTGCGTCAGCGTCTTGAGCAATTGCGGGCGCTTTCCTTTCTCCTTCCGGTGGTGACGGGTCATATACTTTTCACCGTGCGCGTCGCCCGCTTCCACGTTCCAGGCATCTCAAACAATGCTAGCGAATCTGAGCTGGAAAATCGTCATTCGCACGGTTCCTGCAGAAGAGTTGGTCGGCGAAAGCGCCCGCTTTCATTGAAGTCTCGTATGGGCATCTGAATCCCCTTTCCGTGGGTTTCTTCAGCAGTCGAGGGCAAAAGGGGTGGGGGAATCGGGGTGGTTCTGGAGGACCACTCAGCCTGGCTGGGCCGGCCGGTGAAGAGTTGAACCGAACTGCTTGTCAAGGATGGTCGTCTCAGCTCCAATCTGTCGCAATGGTTCGGAGCATGAAATTACCCCAGGCACCAATGCCGGCTCACGAGCGTCTGTCTCTGTTAACCACGCTTTCGCTAGCGGTCAGTTATCGAGTCACTAACATGATACATCCTTATTGACGAAGCTTCAGAGAGTGAGAGTAGTGCCTCTAGCAGATTGGCGTCCCCACAAGATCAGTCTCCGAGCGAGAGCGAACATCCTTCCCAGGTTCACAGTGGCATGTATCCACAACTGTATGGTCAGCAACATGAGCGAAAACGACTCGGCTCGAATGATCTCGTGGCGTATGCTTAGCAGCGCGCATACGAGTATAGCCAGGCCAGGAAACCGGGACCACAACACATGACCGATCGTGCACTGCATGTTCTTAAGAGTGGCGGCCACAGTGCAGCACCCTCCTGCCAGAATAGCGCCGAGGAGCATAATGGACATACGTGGCATTCTGAAAGGCCTATATAGTCACATTCCCCCGTCAACGGTAGCCGGCCCAACAATGTGGAAGAGCAGATGGTGGGAGTGTTGTAACGGGAAGTAAATACGTTGGAAGTACAGCCTTGGCCTTGGAAACCCCAACTCACAACAAACGGGCGGACGAAGGATCACCAATATAGCCAAGAAGCCGTTACGCGCGCTACAGCGGTTGCACCGAAACGGAAACAAAACTTCAGCAAAAGAATAAAGACAGGCTATCTAACATGTCGGAGACGGAAGAAGAAATGTAATGAAGCCCAACCAGTTTGTGAGTTTAGCTAACTTCACTTCCGAATTACTGTTCTCTAATTTCTACACTCAACAGGCAACCAGTGTGTTCGAGGTGGCTTTACTTATAAAGGCTACAGTGTGAGCGGGCGCGTCATTCCAACTAAGCCCCTCCCGGCCTACACCTTTGTGCCGCTATAGTCTAAGGACGGTTAGGTTAATATATCTAAGGCTCCGCCTTCTATTAGGCCTCAGATGAAAACTAGTCATCCGAGTCGTCCACCCGCCCATTATGAAGGCGGTCATGCGAAACCGATATCTAGAGATAATAATGATGAGCAGCTTCCACCTCCATATGAGTCGAGCACACCACGAAACGAACCTTAAAACCCACCGTCTAATTATGGTTAACAATAATGGCCATCGTAATAGACTTAAAGTTCTAGCTCTAACTATGTCTTCCCTTTATCTAATGTCAGTCGATTAGAGTAGTCTTTAAGTGCTCGACCTCGAGAAATATCTTAATCGCTAACTAAAAGCGCATCTTACTCTCAAAATTCTCTATCTTCTCATTAAGATTAGCCTAGCGTATAAATGTAATATCTCTTCTAGTATACGGCATCGCCGCCTATAGGTCCTCATCCGCCGCCGGCTCCTTCGCCACAATAATAAAGTTAATAGCACTAGCCCGAGTATACGCCCGCGTACCCTTCGTCTCCGAGTCATTTAATAGAACTAACTCATTCTCGAATGTTATCTTCTGGCTTCCGCTACCCGAAATCTAACTTTAAAATTTTTAGTTAAGAAGACGTTAAGAAATCTAAGATATTAAGATCGGTTTAGTATAATTACTTCGATCCGACCTTAGTGTATGAGCGTCAACGGTGCGAACGGACTCTTAAACGATATAATACGGCTTATAAGCTAGATAGTGAACTTACCGAATATAAAGTGAGTAATCTCTTACTTAAAGTAGTTAATCTAAGTTAAGACACTATTCATAAATTCTCATCTAGAATCACAGTAAAGACTATATCGATCTCGGCGTTAAGATCGAGGCGCCGTTCACATACACATATAGATACAATCTTAAAATTTAAGACAATGTGTATATAGGTAAAAGGTGTACGTTTAACGATGCCGATATAGTTAAAATTAAACCTCGAACTATCATCGCTCCCGGCGTCACCATCTTAATAATAGACTACGGCAAAGATCTTAAGCATAGGAAAGGCACTAAGGGTTTCTGGATCGTAGGGAACGTCATTATAGCTTCCGAAGTGGTAATCGGTGCTAAAGCTGTCATCTATTTAGGTGTGAGGATTGGAGAAGGCGCAACGGTTGAACCTTGCGCAGTGGTTCGCGGGTCGCTCAGAGCTAGCCCAACTAAAATAATTGATACGATTCCTCACTAGGTGCTGGAAGAGGATTAGACAAGGCTTTGGTGTTTCTATATGCTCGGAAGTGGACACCGTTATCTAATCCTGGACGGTATTGCCGAACGCGTCTGTGAATTGCGGAGTGTGTCAGAGCGTGAGCAATGGCAGGAGCTGTTATGGAATTGCCCGCAATTGGAAATCCCTCCTCCTTGCGTGCAACGGGAAGGTTTTATCTTCGGGCCCTTGGATGCTACCCCCTTCAAGAAAGCGGTAAATGGTTTCTGATCCAACCAGTCAATCCAACCCCTCCGTTTCTGCCGCCCCGACTGCCTCCACCGCCTGAGCTCGCTCAAGCTCTCTGGAATCGGGATTGGGCTGTACCGCATGCCTTCCGGCTGGTATGCCCGTGGACTTGATAGCGAGGATGCTCGCCGACTTCTTCGCCTTGACGCTTCCGAGCGCTGGCGTTCGTCGGAATAGCTGATGGGCTTTCGACAGTGCGGACAAGTATCCTGCTCCTTCAGCCACGAAGTCACGCATTCTTCATGAAACCCATGATTGCAGGGAAGCACAGTGACCTCACTGCCCAACTCGACATTGTTCATGCAGATCCAAAATTCGGCTTTGCCGTCATCGCTCAGCATTTCCCTGTCTACCCTCTTCTTCCCGAGCGGCGATCCGATGGCCTCTTCTAATGTCGGTGGGGGCGCGGTGCTGCCGTTTTGCCGTTCCATGAGCTGCGTCATGATCCGATCAAAGGCTTCTTGGATGACTTCATCTTCGTGGAGGCGCCAACGGTATAGCACTCCGGCATCTCTCTCCTGCACCCAATGCCCAGGATGAAAGTGCTGAACAATGCTGACGCTCCCGTTTTGGAATCACCATGACGTTGCTGTCAACGAGGAAGTGTCGAAGAACGACCAGTACGAGCGGAAAAATAGTGTTGGGGCAGCTTGAATGCACGATAAATAGCCTGCCCAGAGAACGGTGCAACTCGCCCAGGACCTTCGCCATCGCCATTGCCCATTGCCATTGCCAAACCCCGCCCGACTTCACACTGAGGTGCCGCCGTTTGGCTTGTCAGGGCATGACGTTGAACGCGCTGTATGCAAGAGTTTCGGGTTCCGGCCGAATAAAGACGACACTTCCAATGTCGGAATCTTGTTTTGGCCGCTGGTGATAACGGATCAGCCCCGGGTTCTGATGTCGGCTCGGGCAGTCCTGCTTTGTGGATGCTCTGACACGCAGGACCAATTCGCATTCCCTCATGTGGGCACTTGAGTCGTAGACTCGGTGAAAATGGGTTTTCCGCGGCACAGTCAGGATCCTTGCACTCTATCTTTTCCCATTGACATGTCCCTAAATAAGTCCATTCTTCTTCAGCCCTGACGACCCGGGGCTGCGTTGACCATTTTTCTGTTGTCATGCTGAGTATGTAATTGGTTGTCTTCCGATAGTACTGTGTAGACTCTCTAAGAAGACTTAGCCTCCGTGGCATCTTCGACCGAGAACCCGTCTGGCGTGCCAAGCCCTTGTGATCACGTATACTCAGGTGATCCGTAAATGTTCCAGGCGAGCAGGGTACGAGCCTCGCGAGTAATTATGGCCCAAAGTCCGTGAAGCAGGTGGACGTTCCTTAGAATAATGCTTGGCCGGGGGGCCGGCAAGTTTCAGGGATCTGACGCCGTTCGGATCTGTCCAATGGAAACTTCCACCTAATGACTGTCTTCGTATATAGACGCCATGAGAAGTCCGGACTTATGCGGACACCAGACTCCGCACCAGACATTTCATTGCGTAGGGATGCACGTTAGTCTCCGAGCCTCTTGTTTTACACCACCCCGCCGTGAATGGCGCTTATTGGCAGTCGTCTTGTGGCTCGAGGGGCATATATGGACGCAATACAAACGTCTTGTCGATATGACTAAATCGGAAGGCTTAGGTACATCACGTGAAAGAGATTGCCATACTTATTGAGGGTGTTGTATTTGATTAGGGTTCGCTTTCGCATTAAATCTGTCACGATGTCACATTTTGAAGCAGAAGCCATTGCTCATCGTTGTGAAGCCTGAGTTCAACGATTGGCGATCAGTCTGGCTAGGAACGTGGGGTCGAGGTTCGCGAAGCAAGTCGCAGGCACTGAACTCCTCGCACTGTGCACAAGCTAGACCGTTAGACACAGGAATCTTGACTGGTGGAGCGCGAGTAGTGCTCTTACTGAGTTCCTAGGCACCCACAAGCATGCGAGCCTCAACAGGCAATTAAGTGTTTGTAGGTGACCGGTCAACTTGTGTTCAAGGCTGCTCGGTGGCGCCCTTGATCATGTCGTCGGTGACCACCTTGACAATTTCATGCTCGTCCTCGACGTGGTGGATCTTGAGCTTGTCGGAGTCCTGATCTACCTTGATGTCCTTCAGGTACAGCATGACCTCGTTCTGGTCACCGAAGATGGCAGCAACCTCCTCGAGGGGAAGGCCCTTGGTCTCCGGCAGATAGATCCACATGGCGACGAAGCCGACGGTGACGATGGAGATGAAGACCAAAAAGAAACGCCAGCCGATGTTGGCAAAGGCCGTCGAGGCCGCTTCTAGGTACACCAAGTCTGTGAGGGCCTTGGTGCTCACGCTGAGCGAGAAGCCCTTGCCCCGGATGTGGTTGGGGAACATTTCTCCGAAAAAGACGATGCCAGCCACGTCGACGCCGATCGCGTACATGAAGATGAACATGTAGAGCGCCGCTACGCCCATGTGCAATCCCGCGGTGCTGTGCGCCTGGCCTTCCCCCGTAAATGACGCGACCATGGCAGCCTCGATCGACAGGCACACCGCGCAGCCTCCGAGCCCCAGCAGCATCAGCGGACGACGTCCAATCTTATCAATCAGCATTGCTCCGACCAGGTTCCCGATGATTGGGACCGTGTGGTAGCCGGCCTGAAGGCAGATCTGTTGGTGGCTGTTATAGCCCAGCTGCCCGTAAAGCACTGACGCGTAGTTTGTGATGACCAGCACCGCCGTGCTCTCTCCGAGAAAGGCGTATCCGATGGCCAGCAAGCTCCGCTTACGGTACGTTGGCTTCTGGAACATGTGCTTCCACGAATGGTCCAGTGTCCGGTCCAGCTCGATCTGTTTCCGGATCTGGTAGAACTCGCGACGCGCGAATTCGTGGCCCGTATCATTGTGCGCGTGATGCAGATCTTTCACAACGTCCCAAGCCTTGTCCGGGTGGTCTTTCATCAAAAGCCACCGTGGCGACTCGGGAATGAAAGGGAGGATCAAGATCATGAACGTGGAGAAGACGATAGACATGCCTAACGGGCCGCGCCATTGCGCTTCGGGACTATTCTGGATCGAGTTGAAGGCCAGTCCCATATAAGCGGCGAAAGCATAGCCTGTGGCGATGAGCATGCCGTTCATTCCCACGAAGAATCCTCGCCAATGCGGTGGGGCCAGCTCCGAGCTGTAAACTGGGCCTGAGGAAGGAAGTATCGTCAGACATAGATGATTCGCGCCGGAATCGATTCATCTTGTTCACTTACAGACTTGTATCAATCCCGACCCGGCTCCAGCAATAAATCGGAAAGCAATGAACATGCCGACACTTTGACTGGCCGTTACCAGCGCCCCTCCGACGACAGACAAGGTGGCGGTGTAGAGAATGGCCGACTTTCGGCCCCATCTGTCCATGATCATCTCGGCGGTGAAAATCCCGAAGAGAGCCCCGGCCTAAAAGAACACAGACAGTCATCAACGTCTAGAATGTAGTCCAGAGAGAAGGTTCTCGTACTTGGAAGACACCATTCATGGCCCCAATCAAACCATGAGCGTTGGCGCTAAGCCCATGCTCAGTAACCAGACCCATGTACTTCAGAAATCCTGGCTGGGACAGTGTGGTGCCGATGATGGCTGCGGGAATGTCAGCTCCCATGTATTTCTGTTCTCTGGGTCAAGGTATTCTCACCGGCTGGATAGCCGAAGGCGACGTTGCCCATGGATATGAAGAAGCATATCCAAAAATTTCGCAAGTTGAACTCGCGTTGCTTGGCAGCCATAGTGACGAGTGGTCGGTTGGCTAGTTCGTTCGTCCAAGAATGAAGAGCACAGATCTCGGGCACCTATGACTTCGATACCTACATATATCCTAAGGGCGAAATCTGGGGTCAGGAGGCAGTGTGATATATATTCCTCATCCACCAACCCCGCGGGGCGGTCAGGTTATTCTAGGCTTTCCCCCGTGGGCAGGGGCTCCTTTCGTTGCACGCAAGCATGAAGTTTACCACCCCCCCCGGTGATCTCGAGAGCCGTCACACCGGAGATCCGGAGATTACAATCTGCGAGAACACAATCTCCCAATCACCTTTTCACCATCCAGGCCGAGAAGCCCGTACGCTTTGTATACTGCAGGACACATGCTATGAATCGATTTTTGAACACTATGAAGATCTTCTAATTACTGCACGGCGCCTGAGAAGGTGGAAGTCAACGATCTACTAAACCTAATACGGTGGCTGAGGTTTGGGGCAACACTTGGTCCACGTGACAGACAGCCATGGCAGACTATAGCCAGTTCGGAAGCCTCTGTGAGGAATGGCTCAATCTTGTCCAGGACAAAGGCATTGTATTTCCTGTGGCATTGCTCAACACCCAAGAACAGCGTCGAACCTTCCGTACCGCGAGTAATGTGGCTCGGTGCCGTGCGAGCGAAGACGCACTGAAAAAGCAAGAGGGTCTTGATGTTACCACGCAGACGAAGTCCATCCTCTGCCGCGACTTTCAAGAGATCGGCGCCCGTGTTTACTGGCCTTATCCGATCGCCCGCAGTCAAGAAACGAAACTAGGAGAACTCCAGAATGGCGACTCGTGCAAAGTGTTGCTCTATTTTCACGGCGGTGGCTTCCTCAGCGGCAATTTGTCGACCGAGGACGGGACGTGTGTGCAGCTGGCCAGCCAGGGCAACATCGTTGTGGTCTCGATCAACTACAGACACACCCCTGAATGGACGTATCCCCACCCATTTGACGACGCGTGGGATGCCAGATGCCAGGTTCTGCATCAACCACAAACCCTAGGCCTTCCCCCGAATATCGACCTGTACGTCGCTGGGATCAGCAGCGGTGCCAACCTGGCCGCAAGTCTAACGGTCAGAGAGAGGATGGTAAGTGGCTTTCGCTCGACTGGAGAATGTGTGATGCTGAGCAACTGTGGAAAGGCCAACGATGTCAAGATCCAGGGTCAGGCTCTGTGGATGCCATGGCTGTGTCATCCCGATAGTTTTCCTTTCCATGCCATTGAAAGACCAGAAAAATCATCCCCAATCCAATGCAGGCACGCTCCGCTGCTGCCATATTCTTTAGTCGAGGCTTTCGCCGAGATGCTCCAAGTCGACGATGAAGGTCGACGGGATGTCATCACCAATCCATTGCTCTGCAGCGAAATAGTGATGGAACGAATGCCACCGACACATATCCTGGTCTGCGGCAACGACCCGCTGAGGGACCATGGCATGCTGTTTGCAGACAAATTAGATTCTTCCGGGTATGTAAGATCATCACCCTAAGGAGAGGCCGGATTGCTCATGAATTTCTACACAGCGTTCAAGTTCGATCGAAGATTTACCCGGGACTTCCACATGGATTCAGAAGAGTGAATGGACTCCGGAGTAACAGTATCTGGGATAATGATTTGCGGGAAGGGATACAATGGCTACTGAAGACCGGCCGGTCGCTGTAATGAATGCGGAGAGATAAGACCCCAAGAGCCTGCGCAGACTTCTGGTAATGCTCAAAAGACGGCCATGGCGTTGGGTGGGCTTGCCACAGCGCCGCTATAATTCAATGGAACGCTGCAGAGGAAGAATGTCCACCGATTTAGCTTCACACATGCCTCTGATAGCCTTTCCAAGTCGAAGAGCTCTCCAATAGGAGTTCCCCAGCCCGCAAGGAGGACTGGGTGAAGAAAATACTCAGGATCAGTTGGTGCTGCGGCAAGGGTCAGTCGAGGAAGAACATGTCCTTGCGACAGGGTTTGCGTTGAAGAACTTACGCGTGCATTCGAACGCGGGTGAGTCCGCGGCTACCGCGGCGAATTGCCTATCCCACAGCCAACGAGTCGTCTCTTCTGACTGTGCCAGCCCTGGGAAAGCAAATTTGGTTGATATGTCTTTCCTTTGATCTGCAGAAAGCTGACGATACGCTGAGACGTAACCTGCGGTGTCTGTTAGTCACGAAGAGCGACGGCCCGGAAGGATAACGCACCGGTTCGAATGAAAAGAATGTCGCCTGTCAGGAGCTCGATATTCTTCTCTGCCGTTATTCTCTTGATCTGCTCAACGGTGACGGGCGAAGTTGCCAAAGGATCGAACTCGTACGCGTTGGTCTGAGCCCAGTCGTAGAAATCGATCAACACGCCTCTCCCAGCAATAGCCTGTTCCGCCCATTCTCCGATTCCATTCACACCAGGTTTATCTAGCCCATGAATGACATCTTGGGTGATACTGCACCAGTCAGGCCGTACTCTTTGGGCCGTAGGATATCCTTACCCATTGTAGAACATCTTTTCTTTTTGGTAAGCAAAGTGCCGGAAACTATCCCATTGAGAGCTGCATTGAGTGTTGAAAGAGATCTAGTAAAAGAAATGTGATCAGCTCCGCTCTGGATCTCCACCACGGGGCCAACTTACACTATCATCGTTGATGACATGAGGCTCCTTATTGATCAGCTTTTGCTCAAAGCTCGGGCGTCCAAGCAAGCCAGGGTTGATCGCATTGAGAGGAAGGCTGGCAAAGAATTTGGTCAGCTGCTGATGGGGAAAATTATGGCAAAAAGTGCAGAGTTACTTGAGACACACTCGTGTGCCTGTGATGATTTGATTTCTTGCTGCTTGCAGAACTCTGTCCGCAGTCAAATGATTGAGTGATCCCAGGGATGAATCCTTCCACAAGCCCCAAGCTGAATAGGGAGGGTCTCCTGCCGACAGAGGAAGTTCGTCAAACCGTGGAAGCTTTTCGCGGTTCATAATTGTTGGATGGGCATGGAAGCTGGCTTCGAGATGAGGCGCGAGTAGTTTTCTTCCAGAACTATCTCGTGTCGAAGCCAGCAAAGAACGTTCCAGACCATCTAGAGGTCGCAAGGAGATTATCGGATTTCCTGTCTCCGCGAACTCCGGAGATCCAGCCCGGTCGGACTATTAAACATCGACCTGGAGATCAGACTATCCCTCGAAAAGTCAAGGACCGATCCGATGCGAAAAGATGGGCCAACCGGGTTATCTGAGAGTTCAACTGAGCCCAAGAGGCAGCCTGGATGATTTCGACCACTGGAGACTTGAGTCTTTCAAGCAGACACCGTGGGCGACTCAGCAGAAATATTTCACGGCAATCGATGACCCCGATCCCACCAAACCGTACCGCTCAGAAGTTGTGTACGACATCAACAACGTTGACGCGGTGGACCTAGATAAACTGCTGCAAGAATGGTCCTCTCCTAGGGCCACGATGACTTTGCTCCTCTACAAACGATTAGACTTTGCCGCGCACAGGGGCAAGGAGATCCCTCCGGACGATGGCATCGTTGTGGTCAATTCGCTTACACCCGAAAACAACACAGAGGTTCTGGAGGACTACCACGCATGGTATCGAACCGAGCACATCCAAAAATTGATGCAGATCCCAGGGTGGCGCACTGGGAGCCGATATCAGTTGTTGGATCAGCGCGGAGAATGCGCCGAATATGCCGGCCCCTTCATGGCCGTGCATCAGTACGACCGAGAGAACGGTCTTGGAGGTTCGGAATGGACCAAGTCAGTGGTGTCGGAGTGGACGAAGAAGATCGATATGAGAATGGCGAAGCGCCCTCACAGAAGAGTATTCAAGATAGATCGATACGCAATATTTTGAATGGGTTGACTTATGTGATATGTGAAAAAAAGGCACCTTGTCCCCACGCCAATAGTGTATGTATCATCCAGTACCGAATCATGAAATAGTTGACAGAAGCTCTGGACAATAAAACCCCACAATTCGAGCACTACTCCAAGATGCTGGGCAAGTTGAACAAGTTCCAGTACTCGTCGAGATTCATAGTCTGTGTCGCCCCGACACTCTTGCCTCTGGTCTCGGCGAGTGTCATTCCATTTCCCAAGTATGCAAAGCGATTGGGTCGAATGCCGCCCAAATACTCAAAGTGATAGTCTTCCCACCGTGGTTCTTTCAGTGCTTCAATGAAATGGTACGAGCTACCACAGTAGATGGCCACAATCTTGCCGTCCGTCGTCCCTTGTTTGTACCAGCTGCTGCAGGATGACGACCAGACCGTGTTCGCGAGATAAGCCCGACAATGTTCGTTGAAATCATCTTGGGCGGTCACGGTCACATCCATCGACTTGACTCCCTGCTTTTGCAGCTTGGCGATACATTTGGCGATGTAGACCGCCGTGATCTGAATCGCTTGAACCAATGACCCGTTTGAGATGGGCGAGTTGGGCCCGATGAACGCTAAAGTCACTCGTCAGTAGGAGCCTCATACCCGGGAATGGGACATACTGAAGTAGTTGGGAAATCCGGCCACCGTGATTCCAAAGTATCCCTCGGGTGAGTCGGCCCACTGGTCGACGAGGTCAACGTTCCCCTTGCCGATGATGGGAAATCGCGGTTTGAAAGAGTTGTCAAAACCGGTGGCACAGCAAATCACGTCGCACTCGATCAGTCGGCCATCTTTGGTGACAATGCCTTTTGTAGTAATGTGGTCCAGGTTTCTCCATTCCAAGCTGACATTATCTTCCAACAAAGCCTCCAGAAACCCCTGTCCAGGTGTGAGCCGGCGGCACCCTACAGGGAATTCAGGCACGAGTTGTTGAGCGATTTGCCGGCCTTTGTCCGAAGTACCCAAGCGCTCTCTCATCGACACGGAGAACATCTTCATTGCCTCTTCTTGGTCAGGAGACCCCAGGATGAATTGCTTGAAGCCTTGAATGCGACCATCTTGGAGTTTCCTCCGATGTTGGCGGAGGTATTCGGGGTCCGCTTTGAATCGTGCGAGCTCTTGAAGAGAGTAATTGAGGGTCTCGTCGACATCAGGATCATCTGGTCCCGGCTCGCTGATTCCCACACTTGGTGTGATCCAGGTCTGGGATCGAGCAAATAGGGCGGTTTTGCGGGCTTTTTTGGCCACTTGGGGCAGAATTTGAATCCCAGATGAACCAATGCCAATGACGGCGACCGCTTTGTCCGTGAAATCATAAGACTGGTCCCAATCCGCAGAGTGCATCAGCTTCCCTTCGAAAAGGTCGATCCCCGGTATGACCGGCCAGTTCCAGTTGTCGAGAACTCCACCGGCGTTGATGAAGACGTCGCAGACATCGATCAACTGTTCGCCATTTTGCTCGACCGTAAGTTGCCATTTTCCATGCATATCGAGCCATTCGGCACGTTTGATCTCGTGATTGAATTTCACAAACTCACTACACCGGTATTTGTTGAACGTCTTCTTCATGTATTCGTGAATCTGTTCCGACGTCGCATAGTAGTTGGGCCACTCAGGAAACGGTTCGAAGCTGTACTCGTAGTTGTGGGCGGGAATATCACACTGGCAGCCGGGATATCTCGTCCAGGTCAGCAAAAACATCGTGCTCGCCGTGGGAGAATTTACCTGTTCACGAGCCATGTTCCGCCCTGGTCGGAATTCTTCTCGTAGATTTGGAACTCGAGATTTGTGTCTGCCATTTTCGACCTGATAATCATTGCCATCATCAATCCCGAGTAGCCCATCCCCATGCACACGACGCGCAGACTCCTTGGTGTGCCAATAGGTACATCTTGATATGAATACGAGATCTGACCTATGTCGCCCATTGTCAATGTTTGTGTCTGGATTTTCTTGATCTGCCGGGATTGATGTTGATGAAGGCACTTTCCAAGATTTAAAATCTCCCAATGAAACAGTTTTTTCAATGTCGTTCAATGAAGTTCCCTTCTGACAGACTTGTCAAATATTCTGTTATGCTCCCGAGATACCGTGGCGAGTGCTGTAGACGTTGCGGCGATCAACAACTCCGCCTTCTCCGGGTGCATCGAACCTCGCCAACCTTGAATCGCTAACCTGAGTCTGGGAATTTTTCATCACCAAATCTTCGTCACTCCACTCAGCGCCTTTCTTGAGTGCCATGAAGGCGATGTGTCCTGCCTTAGTGAGTGTCAAACAATTGGGGCGATATGGATACAGAGCTTTGGTAATGCCTTGTTCCATTGCGACGGCATTGTTCTAGGCGACACTGACTTCTATAGGGAATCAAAAATTCGTCTCTTGGGGCGTATCACACAGTCAGAGCATGAATTTTTGCTCGAAACTCTTCGAAGCAGTCCTTCCGAACTCCAGTGCGTCCACGATGATGAGAAGTGGCATTTGCTCTCCCACTATACCCAAGTTCTTAGCGAGGGCATGCCCGTCGACGAAATAAACTATCTAAAACAGAGAAAAGCCTTGTCCTTGCCATGCCCCCATATCCGAGACGAGCTTTTTGCCAATTTCCTGCGCTATGTATATCCATCAACACCCTTCCTCGACATCGACAACTTTTACCTGCGAAACCTAGATGGCGACAACCTGGAGTCTGGTAAGAGAAGCCTCTTGCTGACACAGGCCGTTTTATATGCTGGATCTCAGTTCACCGATCTCTCTACTTTGAAAGAGCTGGGCTTTGACTCCAGGCGGAAAGCCTGCCAACATTTTCATGGAAACGTCAAGGTTGGGAAAAACTTGAGCTCTTGTTTGAGTTGCAATTGACATCTTGTAGATGATTCGGTGCCTTGGGATCGACAAAGATGTGTATTCGAACATTTCGGCATGCCTTTTGATGAATGGCTCACAATCTGACGCTGGAGAAGAGATAAATCCTCGGTACTGGATTGATCAAGCGGTGTCATTGGCGTTTCGGATAGGTTTACACAGGCGAAACCCAAAGTACCAAACCGACTCGAGTCGAGCGAGGCTTCAAACGCGTCTTTGGTGGTCGTGCTACACCAAAGATCGTCTTTCTTCATTCCCCAACCTGGAACGATCGCGAATCATGGACACCGAGTACAGTATTACCGCCCTCAGACGGCAAGATTTTGAAAAAGCCATCTTACATCCCAAAATCACGATCTTTGCCGAGGACTTTGTCCGTGAATACAACGCACTAGTTCTGAGTTCCGTTCAGTTGGTCAGACTTTGCATTCTGATCGGTCGAGTAGTCGAAACGTTGCAGATCGCTGAACCTCTACATAAGGATCTCCGAGACTATGTCTCGTCGGGTAGTAATACCAAGACTGAGCCAACCCCGGTCTTCAGGCCAGTGTTGAATCATCGGCAACAACACTTGTCGGTCGAAGATCGAGCACAGCTCGCAGGTCTCAGAATTTCGCGCACAGGAGGCAGACTCCAGCTGATCCAGTCGTCATTTTCGCGGATCGTCTGTGGCGTCTCCATGTGTGTAGGGTGCCACTGGCCTGGAGATGGCAATCCAAGTATCACCAATGTTGACTGCCAGCAAGAGAAGAGCATTGGAAAGATTCTTGGCAGCACCCGAGCGCGCTCTATGGCATCTCTGTCACGTTTACTCGGTGAGGTCTTGCGGAAAGACCTTGTTTCCTACCTCCCGACTGAAGCGGCTGGCTTCCTCAACGCTGCGATTAGGCTACACCATCCGCGGGACTCGATAGCGAGTGGTCACAGCACCAAAGGCAATCCCGGCATAAGAGTGTTCATCGAGGCCGAGAGGATTCTGCGCGCTCGATCTTGGACACTGGCTAAAGAGTGTGTTGAAGACTGGGTTGAAACTCCTGCTGGTGATTTAGCTCAAGCGCGATCTGAAGGGAATGAATTGAACGATGGTTTCACAGAGCAGAGCATTTCTCCGAGTTAGGGAATACCAGAGCCAGCGCAACGGTTTGACCACAAGGCCGTCGCTGTGTACGCAGAATATCTACTCCAGTAGTTGTCATCAAGTTTGTCCCGTCGCTTCTACCAATCAGCGAAAGGTCGGTACGTCGACGAATGGCGCAAAGGCTTTGACTCCCCAGTAACCCACCATCTTCACACAGATATCACGAACGTAAGAGACCTCTTCTCTGGTGGCTCCGTTTCGTAACATCCCCAGCATGTGGCCTGAGGCTTGAAGTGGACAGTCGCTGGCCAGCAGCGCCGAGACAATGATCTGGCTGGTCTCAAAGACAGGCAGGATATCCGGAAATGAAAAGACGTGCGCATAAAGGAGCTCTGAGACAGCGAGGATCAGAAGACAGCTACGCTGAGCAGATCGGCTTTATCCGGCAATGGGTCAAAATCGTACCTCGCATGATAAAATCATAGTCCGGACTCGCTTTCTTCGACTTCGCGCCCCTTTCGCTGCTCTCGCCGTACACGCTTGTGAGGAATTCCTTTCCCCGCGCCACGGCCACCTCGTGGTCTTCATTTCCCCTGAGACAATATTAGATTGATTGGTCCCTTTGGAAGCCTGGAAGGCCAGTCTGCAAGGAAGAAAGTCTCCTGTAAAGATGGTGTTAACCAACTCACCGGTAGCAGTGTTCATCGTGCAGCTCGTTAGGTGTCACATCGGAAAGACTTCTCAACGCGCTACCAACCTGAATCAAGACACCCAAGGTCAATGGACCAGACCTCAAATCATGGGGTCTGTCTCAGAACTCACCCTTGCGGCCCCAATGATCCCCACCAGGCAGGTCAACACCTCTCGGATCAGCCTGGTTTGGTGCATGCGTTCACCTTGGGGAATATAAGACTCGAAGAGGATCGTGTAAAGTGCAGCAACTTCTTCGGGATAGTTAAGCGCAGCGAGACACGCGACGGCCGACAAATACCAAGAAGGGCGATGGCTAGGTCGACTCTGCGCGGCGAGAGTGGCATAGAACTCGTCTCTAGACAGACACGTGCTGCTGGCCATGGTTGAAGATGGTTCAGTCTTCCCTGTACAGTATCACCGAAATAGATAGAGGGGGAATTCGCCCTTGAACTCTATGTAAAAGGAGCGCGATGTGATAGCATCCCGCCCTCTCCGGAGGTGCATCTCCGGCGCCACACACCAGGGGGGAATTTACCTTGGGCTTGCCCCCGACGGACTCGGTTGGCATTATTATTGCGGTCTCACGCCTTTGACCATCCTGGGCCAGGAAGTTGGGCAAAGCACAGTCTCTGAAGATGGCCATTCTTCTCCTACCCACGGTTTCCTTTGCGACGAAAGAGAAACAACAGCGCGTGAGCTTTATTTTGAGCCCCTCGTTGCGTGTTATATCCCGCTGACGTAGCTCCTTGGGTCGCAGTTTTTCTCCCTTCTCCAAAGCGTGGCCGAAGAAAGCTGGGCGGACGAACCAGACTGTCTCGGCTACTGCTGGTTGGTTTCTGTCGTGCCAGCAGAGCTGCGCGTTTGTGGCTTTGAGCTCTATTCGAACGCCGCGGCCTTGACAGAGGTCCATCGAGCTGGCACGGCCTACGGAAGGTTCAAAACGGCTCTCACGCAGGAGGAACTGGCACCTCCTCCCTCCCGCGACGACCTGAGATTTTGGTGTCCCGTGCTAGACCCCTGCCCAGAACTGAACAAATCTCACGGTGAAGATACCCCGTTGACTTTCTTGGTGAGCAAATATCAGCTGGACAGCTCAGAGAGACGAGAGGCATTGCTGAAGGACTTTGAATCGGAGCACGGAGAAGCTCAAAGCACCACTTCTGCAACACGCATTGTTGCCACCGCGCCTGACAGTCATGATGTGGTCACGGTGCACATTGCACACTCTACCGCGCTCGATGATTTGAGGTGCAAGAAGATTGAGGAACAGTCTAGGTATGTGATAAGGATGCTTCCATTGTCGGCCCTGGTGATTATGTACTCATGCGGTCTCACACAGGATGCGAGAAATGGGGGTGCGAGAGACTTGCCATCTCTGGCGGACATCTTCAGTCGGATTTCTTCGTGGAAATTCTGCCAGGGAAAGTTCCAGTAAAGCTGAGCCTCGGGCGCAGGTCGGACGAGACATCATGGAGTACGGAGTACGGAGTACAGGGGGCGGATTAATAGATGCCATGGCCCCTGGGTGTTGTCAGTAGTGCGAGGGTACCCCGTACCCCAGCGCCCCTCGGCCTCCCGGCGAGCCGGCTCGCAGCCTAGGGTTCCCCGAGCTTGTTTATTAGAGCCCAGAATTACTCCGTACCCCCCCCCCCCATATCTTTCTAGCAGTCCCGGAGGTCCTCGCTTCCACCCACTTCAGACATCCATCATCGGTTGCGTGTCCCAGAAATGTCCAAGTCCCATCAGTCTGGCGTCGCGAAATGTAAGGCCTGCGTCGCATGCCGCCGGAAAAAGGTGCGTAAGCCTTCAGTGGATAGGAGATGACCCATTACCAAACTCCGTCGCTGATGCCGTCATCTTCCAGATCAAATGTGACGGTAATCAGCCCCGCTGTGGCCAGTGCCGGTCATCGCCCATCGAGGACTGTCTCTATGGGAATGATGCCCGGCGGCACCCTCGTACCAAGCAAGACTCCATGGCCTCCGTGGCCAACAAGCTACTCAGCTTGGAAAATCTGTTGAAGGGCCTGGACCAAAGAATCCTTCCCGAGCAGGACCGACCGTCTCGTGGGCGATGCATGACGGCCCCCGACGATGAGTTTACACCCGAGCCTTCCAGAGCTGTCGACGTGGTCACTCACGATGTTCCCCTGCAAGTACATCATAATGCAGTAATAAGTCCAGCCAGAGAAAACCCGGCCAAGGCTGCGAATATTGTTTCTTCCCACGGCCAGTCGCCCTGTGGACACAAAGCCGCGTCGGTTACAGCCCATGACGAGGGCCGCTCACACGAGGGATCGCCATGGCTGGCGAATTTTATGGTTGACGACCAAGGCTCCATTTCCGCACATGGTCCCTCATCAGCATACCACTACCAAGACAAATCTCCCGATCATGCCGGCGACGATCCAGGCGATGAGGCAGCACGATGCAGCGGGCGGGAGGCGGCATCATCGTCCAAAGTCTCGCATCCTCTAGATCACGAGGACATCCGCGTACAGCTGGTCGCGCACGCCGCGCTCGAGCGGCAAAAGGAATCTGCGGCGCTGTTGCTCGGCACATATAGTTTTGATGGCCTGGACTCCGAAACGGCCCAACATCTCCTCCAAATCCATTGGAACCGCCATCATCTGCTGTTCCCATTGACATATCGGCCCTTGGTCCTGAAAGACGGCGTAGAAGACGGAAGGTATGCCAACAAGCTCTTGTGGAATGCCATCTTTTATGCATCAGCCCTGCACAGCACCCGACCACACGTGAATGGAACAAGTCGTGGAGATGGAGAGAGTCTCAAGGACCGGTTTTTGCGCCGGTTCAAAGAGTTACTCGCAGATGCGCTGGAGAAATCGACTCTACCAACCATCAGCGCCCTGCTCATCATGGGATCCAGCCTTTTAGCAAGCGGATCGCCCACTGCCGGCTGGAACTATTGTGGCCTGGCATATCGCATGATCATTGACATGGGTTTGCACCTGGATCCCAGCAAGACCCGGCCTTGTCAACCGGTGTCCCCCAAAAGCCCCACCGTTATCAGCTTCACCGAGGCCGAGCAGGAAATGCGTCGACGCATCTTCTACGGGGCATACATCATGGACAAGTTTCAATCGCTCTATTTTGGACGGACCCCAGCTCTGCCTATGATCGGCACCGAACCCCCTCAGATCTTTCTCGACACATACGAAGATCTGGAGCTCTGGGCTCCATATGTGGACACATCTCTGGACGCAAACGAACCCTTTCGTCCCTACACCCCGCGACCACAACACCTTGTTCCGACATTCAGCGCCCTGCTCCGGCTGGCAGAGATCACCAATGATATCATTGCTAGGCTCTACATGCCCTCGGCGGTGCAAATGACAAGTGACCAGGCGGCCGAGTGCCTGAAGAGTCTGCGCAAATGCCTCGATGACTGGCACGAGAGCCTGCCGGCGTACCTGCATTTCAGGCCGCTCGAAGATCCGACGCCTACACCACATCACCTGAGCCTACATACGACGTTTCACGCCCTCATCATCCTCGTCCACCGGCCCTTCCTGCCGGAGGGCCACTTAACCTCACTCAAGGTAGGCATCGATGGAGTCTCGCTCGAGAAGACATGTCTAGTGGCCGCGCAACAGATTTGTCGCCTGGCAAAGGCATATGAGGAGGTTTTTGGGCTGCACCACGCGCCATACCTATTTTCTTACGCCCTCTTCTCGGCCGCTACTGTGGTAACGCGCCACGAGTCCGATGGCGACCTGATGATGTACTTGTTCCTCGCCCTGATGCGGATCCAGCGCGGGGCCAATTTCGGCCTCCTGAAGCCGTTGATGATCATCCGCGATCTGATGGAGCGGGTCGGTGTCGACATGCGCACCGTCACGGCTGCCACGCAAAGCCTCAGCCAACGACTCCAGAAAGAGGGCGAATCGGCCTCGACGCCGGCGGTGCTGCCGACGAGTGATCCTCCTCCTCTGGACAATCACTTTGTCAACAAATCAATGAGTGGTCTGGATCCGACGTGGCTCGAAGATCTCGGTTCCTGGCAGACATCTGATGATGATGCCATTCAGTGGCTAATGGACCCACCGTACATGGAAGACTCCCAGGTACTTTACGGATTGTTTGAACCTGCAAACTGAAGGGGCTGGCAGCATTCTGGCGCGTCCATCTATTGATGAATACCATACCAACCCACGAGACGATCGCTCCTACAACATCGCTTTGCCCTGTTGAACCTCTTCCCACAGTGAATCGGTTAACGAATTGAACAGTGACCTCTGTAAAACATACAAATTATCACCGTGGATGTTCTCTCGAGGAAGCCAACTACGTCCCACGAAATCCTTCTTTGCTTGTTTGTATGTGTCTCCGGCCCCAATGCTGGCCGTGATGCGCACCAACCGCGGCACCGCGTAGTCTGGAAGCCCGCTGTCACGGAGATATGTCCTGAGGTTGGCCATGAAACGCTGTTCGGTCGCGGCGTCGTAGGCCTTCAGCGCTATTGCCGCGCCGCCAACTTGACCATCGTACCTATTTTCCCAGCAGCGGGTCAGATCATGTATCACCACAACGGGGCCAAAACCACTCAACTTGTCGAGTTTGACACCATATACCACAGCGTCTTGGACGTCTTCCATCCCACAGATAAAGTCTCTAACTTCAGCGGTGCTGACATTTTCGCCCTTCCAACGAAAGGTATCGCCCATGCGATCAGAGAACTGAACCCAGCCAGACCTCTCCTGGGTTAACATGTCTCCCATGCGTTGGAACAGGTCCCCCTTCTGAAAAACGTCGGTCAGCATTTTGGCCTCGGTGGCCTCGGGGTTTCCGAAGTATTCGGTCAGCAAGCTTCGGTCCGTGCACCGGCCAATGGCCTCCCCGGGCTCGCCCAAGCTGGCCTTTTGGCAGAAGCCGGTGCGGACGTCTCGAACAGGCTCTTGGGTTTCCGGGTCGACTTTAATCAGGAACGTCTGGTCTTGGAAGAACCTCCCCAGGAGCCCTGAAAATCCTATCTTGCCAGCCCCCACGACCCCGCGGCCGTGGTTGTCAAACTTGGCCAGTCCCTCTGTCGACCGGTAGAACTCGCGAATTTCTGGGATGCCGAACCTCTCCATGAATGGCTGCCAGATGTCTTTTCTCATTCCGTTCCCGTGCGCCACGATGCACCCGTGTGATCTATCGTACTGGGACGCCGGCGCACCCATCAGATACCGGCAGAGCTCGCCAATGTACAGCATACGGTTCGCCTTCGCCAGGACCATGTCCTCCCAGAAGTGCGTCACTGAGAACTTGCGTCGCAGGCACAACGTGCCCGAGCATCCGACCACGTACGTCAAGCCTGTGAAGAATGCCGTGCCGTGGAACAGGGGCAGCGGTGAATATGTGCGTAGCGGATAGTAGACCTCAGGGTCCTCCGTATCGGCCGTCAACGGGTTTGAGGTGGCCATGACCTGCATGTTGCGGATCGCACACGCCTTGGGCTTGCCTGTCGTTCCGGACGTGTAAATCAATACCGCCACATCGGCGAGTCGTTGTTCTCTCGTCGTGATACTTGCTTCGGTTCGATGCAGCTCGTCCAACGTCAATCGGGTCACGGCCGTATCAGGTTCGTCGTCTTCATCTCTGTGACTGGTTGCTGGGCCCGTCTTGACGAATGAGTAAAGATCTAGGATCAGTTGGCTGACTCTGGGTGGAGAAAAGGCCATCAGGTCAGGGGTCGTAATGATCAAATCTGCGTTGGCCACGCTGAGACAATGCTGCAGCGTGGCATCTCGCAGATTGGTGTTGATCAATGCCACAACGCTCCCAAGTTTGGACACGGCGAGACAAGCGATGATCATCTCGGGTGAGTTTGTTGTGAAAACCGCCACGCACTGGCCGGGCCTGATGCCGCGTCGGCACAGAATCGTGGCCAGGCGATCTGCATCGCTCTTCAATTGTTTGTAGGTCCAGGACTGATTTTCAAACCATAGCGCCTCTGCTCCTTGATCCGCACAGTCAAATATCCGGTAAAGACTGCAGTCGCCTCCCAAGTCCTTGATTCTTTGATCCAGCCGCCGTCGCCAGCTGTGTTCGTGTCGCAGCTGCTTCAGGTCCGCCCCAATCCCCAGTTTGGCATCCAGATACGCGTAGCTGGCGAGACCGGCGGCGGTGGCATAGGCCAAATTGGCCGCCATTTTTGCGAGAGTATTCTCTGCCATCGTGGCTGCTCGCGAGCGATATGCGCCCGGCTATCGTGTTCAACTCGATTGCCTTCGCGGCGGGTAATTGCCTCCAGCATTGTACCCAGCCTTGAGCGTTCGCAAAACACTCCAGGATTAAGAATTGTTTGCACCACCAGACCTCGGCGGCAGAAACGCATCCTTGTCGCCGTGCAAATAGCCGTATCGAATTCCTGCAACTTGAAGGCCGGACCTAGCAAATAGTGGCGTTGGCCGAGGTCGTGGGCTGGACAGCCTGTCCGGAGATGCACGAACTCCGGATATCCGACATATTTGAGATACCCGGAACGAGGCATGCTACAGCGCGCGGCACAAGCGAAATTTCCATCCAAGAAATCACATGGTCCATGCTGATTGAAGTTCAGAGAACACATCGAGGCAGTCATTTTCACATAATCTCCAGCCATCTGGGTGGCAGATTGACTTAACTCCGATGTGCTCTTTCGTGGTCAACATGAAAAGAATGAACTGCCTCCCACGTGGCCCTTTCTTCCTTTCGGAAGCAGAATTTCGAGAGGCTCCGAGATGGCAAACTCAACCTCGACAATGACCGGCAAACGGCGTCTGGACATCATCATGAACCAACTGGGCCCGGTGCCTGATGCGAAGAAACTGCTGCTCCAGCGATCCCCGTCCGACGTGGTCATTACCGTAGCGACGCGCACTCCGCTTACGAAAGCTAAAAAGGGAGGACAAAAAGACACGTCGGTCGAAGGGCTTCTCATCGCAATCCTCTCTGCAGTGCGTGAAAAGAGCTGTATCGATCCAGCCCTGGTACAAGACGTCTGTGTGGGCAACGTGCTGGCGACGGACCAAGCATATCTGGCCCGCGCCGCCGTCTTGACCGCCGGGTTTCCCGAGACGACCGCATCCTCGGTGTGCAATCGATTCTGCTCTTCCGGTCTGCTAGCCATTCAGTCCATCGCCAACCAGATCATCACCGGCGCCATCGAAGTCGGGATCGCCGTGGGCGCTGAGAGTATGTCGACGACACCGGACAATGGCAGTCCGCCCATGAATGAAAAAATCAACTCCCACCGGCTGGCAGGCCAAATCCAACAGCCAATGGGCCAGACGAGCGAGAACGTGGCGGCCGAATTCAACATCTCCCGGGCGAAAATGGACCAGTACGCCGCGGAGAGCTTTCAGTTGGCCGAGAAGGCCCAGCGAGAGGGATGGCCTGCGGATGAAATCACACCCATTAGCGTGCGCTTCAAGAATCCCGCAACGGGAGAATTTGAAACCCGCATCGTCTCCGCCGACGATGGTGTGCGCTTTGGCACGACGGCCGAGTCCCTGGCTAAGATCCGGAGTGCTTTTCCCCAGTGGCCTCCAGGCCACACGACCGGCGGCAACGCGAGCCAGATCACAGACGGCGCCGCGGCCGTCCTTCTGATGAAACGTTCCAAAGCGGAAAAGTTCGGCCTCCCTATCCTGGGACGCTTTGTCGGTGCCACCGTCGTCGGGTTGGAACCGCGCATCATGGGCATCGGCCCTAGCCTCGCCATCCCCAAGATCTTGGACCGCTTCAATCTGTCTACCTCGGATGTCGACTTGTTCGAGATCAACGAGGCATTTGCGTCCATGGTAGGCTGCAGATTCCCTTCCCCGAGCTGTGCACAACCGCTAACCCTGGTGCGTTCGACCTCAGGCTGTCTATTGTGTGGAGAAACTCCGGCTTGATCGGGCAAAAGTGAATCCGAGAGGTGGTGCCATGTATGTTATGTTGTCTGCACTGGCATCCACAATGCATTTGCTTGCTAACAACTGAGTTTAGAGCACTAGGACATCCCCTCGGCTGCACGGGGGTCAGACAGGTGGTGACAGCGCTGTCCGAGCTGAGAAGACAGGGCAAACGTCTCGCGGTCACTTCAATGTGTGTCGGTACAGGCATGGGCATGGCTGGGATAATTACTTCGGAGGCATAAATGCCGAAGTGCTCAAAACCTGGCTCTAACGATAGAATAATTCGAGATACTGGGTGCAACCAACTAATACCTGACATATTAATCGCGTTCAATGTACAATTCTGGAAGGGCAGGGCGATATTGACTCTAATCAGGACCGTCGCCTGGACCGTTATTCTCAGAAAGACTTCTGCGACCGCTCACACGGTTTTCACAAGCAGAATCGGTTGAGATTACCCACAATCAACACATATTGTCTCCAAAATGAGTTTGTGGATTGACGGCGCAACTACTTGTCGGCATTATTGTGTGAGGATCACCTGTTGGAGCATCTGAGGTAACTCAATTACTCGTAGAAGGCAGATGGTGTCTTGCATAGTCTACCAGACTTTACCTCAGATTTAGTCAAACATTCTCCACCATAGACACCAGCGCGTCCAGAAGAGTGACCCCGAAAGCATTCTCTGGCAAGAATAGCCGTGCGAGAGAAGACGCCGGCGGCTTTCCCAAGAACGCGAAACACCGGAAACTGGGAACCCAGAGGCCAAGTTGTGGGACCGTTTCCACGCGCACAGGGCTTTGCTCGCGCTACTCAAGCATGCCTCAGGGCTCCTAAACCGGGCTCAAGATCGCACTGCCACAGCTCAGGACCGCTTAATCATGGCTCGCGTTAATAAATGGCGAGTTGCTCAGGTCCCGAAACGGAAATGGACTTCGAAGGGGTCAATATTCGCTGCTGAATGTTGTGGTATTCCACAGGTATTCCTGGTATCATGAGAGACCCCGGATCACCGATAGATAGACAGAGTGTGAAGTGGCACGTCAATCGTCGACGACTTCGAGATCATAAGTCTATGAATTAGTTTACTTAGGCTCTCTATTCTTTAATAGCTAAAGAGCCTTTTAAAGAAGAGTATATTTAGTTATATAATAAGGAGGAGTGGTGGTAGGAGGGAGAGGACCTCGAGGAAGAGCCGACGCTAGGTGTACTATATAGTGTACTGTAAGACTACTAGCATTCGTAAGGAGATAATAATAAAGGATCTTCTAACGGCATAGAAGCCTAAGAAAGGCGTCTAGGCCGTCGTTCTTAATGAGAGACGACAAGGCCTTCTATCTAAGGCTCTTATAAAGAGAAACAAGAGGCCGGCGGCCGCGCAAGACGATTAGAGACGGCGCTCTAAACGCTAGAGAACACCATATATCCTCTAGAAATAGGGTAAATAGCTTAAGCTGTATATATCACAGCCTTTAACTACTTAGCAATGGAATTTACAGGCATAGATAGATGTATGCAGCCATGACCGGGCGGCCAGAGAACTACTCGGCGCAGAACAACCCATATAAGTGTTGTTACGCCTAAAATAGTTATCGTTCCATAAGCGCTTTAGGCGTTATCTAATTACGCCTAGTACTAGGAGCCTTACGACATAGTAGAACTTAGGAGAGATCTTTCTAGCACCTAGCATTCTATATATAGACGATTAGACCTAGCCTAAGAAGAGATATAGATAGATAGATTAATTTATAATCTATTTACGATCCTACTAATTTAATAAGTATTCACTCGTAAGTATACATAGAATAAGATTACGTAATCTCGGCGATACTTATATAGAGAGGTGTATATAGACTAGTGTAGAGATGTATATAGAATAAGGTTACGTAGTGTATATAGACTAATGAAGAAATATATATAGAATAGTGGGAGCCCCGTGAATACGACTATTCGAGGTTTTTATATATATATACGGAGGCGCGCACTAAATATACTAACTACGCTAATTATAAATAACTATATATTTAAAAGATAAATTAATTTATAAATAGTTACTCTTAATAACCGCCCCTAGATTATTATAAAGAGTACTTATAATGCTTATAGTATTCATCTAATCGAGAGTCTCTAGATATCTTAATCTAGGGGCTAATAGGCGTTCTAAGCCTAAAGCTCTAAAAAATTCTCTATTACGTAAAGATTCACTATTATTTATAATTAGCGTGGACGCTATATTTAGTGCGCGCCTCCGTATATTATATATACATATACATACACACATACATACACACACACAGAGTCATATTTTCAAAAACCATGCAGCAAAACTATAAAAACTTTGCCACCAGCCCCTTCGAACTGGGGGTGGTGGTAAGTGAAACCTTACCTTGCGGTAGGTTTTTCCGTGGGGTCGAGGACATATTGCCTTCCAGCCGGTGCTAGTTTGAACCTGATATATCCGTGTTCAGAGCGAGACTCGAACCGGGACATGTTGCCTGCTAGCCCGATGCTAGTTGGACCAGACATGTCTGGGGTTGAATCTCAGATCGATTGGGAGGATCAGTTGAGGGAGGATCGCCTACTTGAACCATTCCATCACTTGTTGACTTCGATAAGTCTCTTTCTGTTCTCTTATGTGTTGACTCTTGCAGTCTCTTTCCTAGTAGGGGTCTTTGCGATTGTTGGAAGAAATTGAGTGGTTCCAAATTATATGTCTTAAGACGCACATTCCCATGTGACTTCTGTTATTCTGCTTGGTTGTGTGTGAAGAATTGTAAAAGGGCAGGACTGGGTGTGGCAGAACACCCTCGATGGACTCCTCACGTGGAATTTGGCTTTTCTCCATGCCTTACCTCTGACACCATTCTCCTGCTGTACGGCAAGAACCACGAAAAGCCTACCCAAGAGCATTTACGCGGCATACGAGGTTGATATATTGTTCTTCTACGATGTCGGCAATATTGACAAGGCTGCAAGGCTGTGGACGTCAGCGATGTGGAGTGATAGCTGATGTCATCCAGCATGTGTAGAGAGGGCAAGTCAGCCGAGCGGCCTTGCTCGCCTGCTTCTTCCGAAAATGTCAGGTGACGGAGATATGGAAGCAAATGCAAATGGCAAAGAAATTTCTTGGTCCTAATCTCGGTACTTAGTCCTGGATGCTGGACATGCAACAACAACCACGACTCTCCCTCACAACTCCCTCGTCGCGTTGTAGACCTTGTCATTGCTATCCACCTAAGTCTATCTGTTTTGCTTCAATCGAGCGACCGGTGAGGCGTGCGCAGAGTCTGCAAAGCCGCCAAACGCATCACTGGGTCACATCAGTTGGCCCTCCACCTTCGGGTGCGCGCATGTGCTCTGTCCGAGTGAGCAATCCAGGCATCCCATTCACAACATCGACGCACGGAAGATAAACCATGCCAGCTAGACGCGGTCGCCCCTTCCCATAAGGCATAAACACACTTCAACAGTGCTTGTCAACTATGGCCTTCAACTTCAACTGGTCTCCACTGTCTACCGACGCCGGTTTCCTGCCGCGCGCACAAGAACTCCTCACCAATGCCCTCAATCGAGCCGACCCTAAGCCTGCGATCATTGTCGACGACATCATTGTCAATGAACTCAATCTAGGAGATGTTCCCCCCGAACTGGAGATCTTGGAGATTGGGGATCTGGCCGAGGATAGGTTTCGCGGCACGTTTAAGATGATGTATAATGGGAATGCGTATCTCACCCTGAAGACAAAAGTACAAGCAAACCCATTGAACACATACCTGCGCACTCGCTCGGCATTTGCCACACCACGACCTCTGGCTGCCGACACTGGCCTGACTATACCACTACAAATCACTTTGTCCGAGTTTCGCCTGTCCGGATTCATCATTCTTGTCTTCTCACGACAAAAGGGATTGACGCTCGTCTTTCGAAATGACCCTCTGGAGTCTTTACGCGTATCGTCGACCTTCGACTCCATACCTTTCGTTGCAAACTTCCTGCAAAAAGAAATTGAAACTCAGCTGCGAGGTCTTTTGATGGACGAGTTACCTGCCATCATCCACCGACTTTCCCTGCAGTTGCTAGTGCCAGAGGATAAAGCGCGCGAAGAGCGTCAGCTTGGGGCCACACAGATATCAAAGGATGAAGTTGTCATTGATCCGTTGGCGAGTCCACCACAGGACCCAGTCGACTCTACCGGGGCTGTATTGACCCCGGCAGAAGTCGCATCTTTATCTTTGGATTCGTCGGTCGAAACTCAGTCATTGTTTTCGCGAAAGAACCTGTTACGATTAGCTACCTTGACCGATTCACATCGCACATTGTCTTTGTTCACTCCATCCATTCGAGATGCCGTCTTTCGAGCCTGGACTGGTCCATTGGAACGAGGGGAGATGACGGGGCTTTTGACCAGGACGACGACCCCGACCCTGTCTCGAAGCCACTCGTATGCTGGAAGTCTTAGTACGTCGACGGCATACACGCTTGATAGCGGCTGGTCTCGCCCTCCCTTATCGAGCTTTGCATTTTCGAGTTATGGTTTGAGCATGGGAGGTGGAAGACACGGCCAAGGCCACCGAGCACGCAAGAGGAAGAAGCGTGTGGTTGACCTGCGGCCTCACCCAGAAACTGGGGAACCTGAAATGGTCGTCGAAGAGGGTTCAACAGCTGATTCTGCCAGTGTGTCGGAAAGCACATCGACTGCACCCTCGGTCTTCTCAGCACCTGCCGCCACCATGTCTTCTGATCCAACTCAAGGTCTCAATCCTGTCACCCCGCCCAGAAGCCCGGTTGCCATCAAACGAACAGGAACGTTTGGACCGGTCCTTCCGGGAGGGATGCGTAGTGTCAGTGAAGGCACGCCCGCACCTGACCCGACTATTCAGGTTGAGGGACTACCGTCGGACATTCACCAAACTCCGCGAGCCAAAGATCCCGACGCCACAATTCGGATTCGAACTCAAAGAATACTTCCCGCATCTTTCGACGATGACGAGACACCTCGAGCTTCGATGTATGTACTAGATCAGAAAGAGCCGCCTGTCCTTCAACAGGCGACCGAGCCTAAGGCTGTCGCCAGGGAGAAACCCGAGCTCCACTCCACGCCAGGCCCGTCGCGGCCAGCCCTCTCGAATTTTCTTCATTTTGTCGCCGACCAGTCTAACGCAGGCAGCATTGCGGAGCGTGCCTGGATGATGAAAATGGCGACTGAAATGGCGCAGCGATATGAAGAGGAAAGACTTAAAGGCAGCTTTGGACCGGTGGCTCGTGAGGAAGAAGCAAACCCTCCTCCAGCGTATGCGCGATGATGCTTGTGTTATCATTTCGACTTTCTTTCAGCGATGCTTTCAGACAAAAGTTTGCTTTCTTTCCTGTGTACCACTAACTAATGGCGTGACGAGGCTACGATGTTAATGTATATAGAGTTGAGAAGCCTACGAGGCTGAGGATCCTCTCGTCGATACAGAGGAGCTGGGGTTCTTATTATTTCTATGTACCGTTGTGCTATATATTACATATACAATCTCAACGTTATCAGCACGTCTGGGGAATCGGTTGGTGACCCACATTTAGGATTCGAAAGGGCCGAGGATGATCTATCGTTCATGGACTTGGAGGCTTCGACGGTAGATGGCTTACTACGAAGTATTACCCAGAGCTCGTGTACTCGGCGAGATCGGTACGAGGTGCCTCGTAGTGGATGCCGCAAGCCGCGTGGAGTGCATTTTTGAAATTGTGGAGAGCTGGAGCAACTTGGTCAGGCTCAGTCGTCTTTGGACTCCACTACCTCTTTTCTCTCTCCGTCCTTTGGTCAAAGTAACGCAGCGCAGCCCTCATCTGCGCACAGAGAACTGTCAGGGTCATTTATTTGATCCAGGCTGTCACTTCCCTTGTCCATCATGGACTACTTTAAAGCTCTGCTCGGCCCAAAGCCTTCGCAGGCGCCCGTCGTCGCCGAAGACGCAGGTGAATAAACAACGCTCCTCAACACCGGCCTGAAACTCACTCATGTCGGTTGTCTAGATTTCGCCGACTTTGCAGCCGCCCCTGCCCCTTCACCGGCCTCCATCCCCGTCTCCCTCGCTGATGCGCAAGCGGCCGCCGCAACAGGAGCCACCGTCGAGGGTCGTCCAGTCGTCTATACGAAATGGTATCGCGTGTGGGAACGGACCCAGCTGTCCGACTTCATGATGGAGGGCGTCCTTATCCCTTTCATCCTTTTGGCACTCTTGGTGCACTTCTGGGGAACGAGCACGAACAGACGCAAGGCGAAGAAATGGATAGCTGTTCATGCCCCTCTTTTGGAGCGAGAGTTTGCGGTCGTTGGATACAGTGCGGTCCCGAAGGCCGAATCAACAGTAGAAGGAGGAGTGTCTCCGGGGGATGTGAACTTGTTCAAGGATGTTGTGAAGAACAAGGGAGATAATGTGTCAGATGATTTGTTGAAGGAGAAAGCCGCCTGGGAGTATGAGTCGTATGCGACTGGACGACAAAACGTCGCCTTCATGGATGCCAAGATCTACTTGAAGAGACGAATGAATCCCCTCATGATGCTGGCGGAGGAACTCACGGGCATGTTCATCGAGTCGATCAAACCAAAGCCCGAGAGAATGGAAGCCATCATCTACACCTTTGACGGCAAAGAGAAGGAGTTTGTGCCCCCATCCGTCCCCGGATCCGAGGAAGCTGGCAAGGCAAAATCGGTCGGGAACTCAACCTACGACCCGTTTGTGTTTGCCGTGGTCAACAAATTGGCGATGCGCAAACTCCGCGAGGAACGGTACGATCTGTCACTCACATTCACCAAGGACCACGCCAAACTCCCTGACTGGGCTACATGCATGAGCGAGTCGGCAGAAATCAGTGATTGGATGCTCACAAAAGAACTCGTCGACGCGATCCAGGAAGCTGGTCCCGACTATTTCCAGTACCTTATCGTCACGGATCAACCTCAGGACAAACCCACCAACCTGAACGAAACGGCCCCGAAAAAGCGCCTGCACATCTCGCTTCGTCTCCCTTCCGACGGCGACTACCTCCCTACGCTGCCTCTGTTCGCCGTTTTCCTTCGCCTGCCAGATTTCATCGTCTCGCAGTCCCACCTTCGCCCGGAGGTTCTCAGGAAGGTCATGGCGATCCGTGAGCAAGAAAAGACCAAGCTGAAGAAGATTTCGGACAAGGAGGCAGAAGAGGAGAGATTGAAACAACTGGACAAGATGAAGAAGGAGGAGAGGGAACGGAAGATGAAGGGGATGAGCGCGGAGGAGCAGAGGAAGTTTTTGGAACGGGAGAACGAGAAGATGCGGAAGAAGCAGGAGAAGAAGATGACGAGGCGAGGCTGAGGACATTGACTTGGGTTCGGTGCAAAGAGTGTGGAAGGACAGGGGATTCATGACAGATGTGACAAGATGAGTGGCAGACCTTGGTCTTGTCTTGCTCTTTCTCAGTATATGCTTGCGGACATCAGCACCCCAGAAGATGCTCGTTCTTGAATTTAAAAGCTGCACCTCCATTTTCGCCCGGATGGGCTCCCTGGTGCGACGTCGTATACTAGTGGTTCCTTTCCAGCTTCCAAGGGTCGATGGCTGCATTCTGTCAGCATCCTATCGAAAGACGTACCGAGTATTAATACGAGTATGTACCCCAGATGGACCTTTTCCCTAAACAACCCAAATTATAAATATAGGAGGCCTCAAAAAGCGGGCCGGTGGGTTGGCTGGTGGGCTGGTGAGGCTGTGCTCGGGGCCTGAATGCCAGCCCGAAACAACATTCTCCGTACTCCGTCTTGTCCCTGTGCACAGTCCGTCTATCCATCTCCATTGGGCACGTCAAACCCCGTTTCATGCTTGATTCATCCAGCCCAGTTCGAGACTCGTCGATCAGTTAGCCTCTCCGGCTCTGCCACCACCAAATCTATCTGGCCGCGCGGCTGGTGGCTTCTCTGGGTTTCATGCGCAAGGCTTGTGAAAATGTCCAAGCCTCACTCACCGCGACACCATGCCTGCGGTTCTTCATCAAGGTTAGAAGCAGGGCTTCCGCACCTGTCCTCACTTTCTCCTTGCACTGTCTTTTCTTTGATCTTTGCTTTTTGTCCGCTCATTGGCGTGCTTCTTCCTGGACGACTTGACTGCTATTGCTGTCACCCAGGTTGAATCGAGATATCTCATCCAACACGAGAAACGCTGTTCGCAACGACTGTCCGAGACCTCTCCCACCGTTGTAAAGATGCAGTTACGGCCTTTGCTGTCCTTCGTCTCCCTCCTCAGCCTGAGTGTTGCAGCGTCAGTCGACGTATCAGTTGCAAGACGCCAATCGACCGCCTGCAACAACTCGCCCTCGCTGTGCTCGAAACCCTACAATAGCATCGTCCACCTAGGTGCCCACGACTCGCCCTTCGTCCGGGACGCCACCACAGGCTTCTCGACGTCGGGAAACCAGTATTACAACTCGACAGTCCAACTCTCAGCCGGTGTCCGTCTGCTTACGGCCCAAGTCCACAAGTCCAACGGCGAATATCATTTATGTCACTCTTCCTGTGATCTGTTGGATGCGGGGATTCTGTCGGACTGGCTGGAAGAGATCAAGACATGGCTGGATAATAACCCGAATGAGGTTGTCACCATCTTACTCGTCAACTCGGACAATGCCACCCCAGAGGACCTGGGAGCACATTTCACCACGGCCGAGATCACGAACTACGCATACGTCCCTCCTTCCACAAGCACGCCTCCCTCATCGGGGACCTGGCCCACTTTACAAGACCTAATCACCGCGAATAAACGACTTATGGTCTTCGTGGCCTCCCTCTCCGACCCTGCGTCCATTCCGAGCCAGTATGCCTACCTGATGGACGAGTTCACATTCATATTCGAAAACCCTTATGACAACACCTCCCCCAACAACTTCAGCTGCCTACCAGATCGACCCACCTCCGTCCAGGGAAACACCCAAGCCGCCATTGCCTCCAATCGCATGGCATTGACCAATCATTTCCTCTACCAGGAGGGGCTGTTCGACATTGAAACCCCCAATGTGGACAACATCACCGTCACCAACTCGCCCGGCAACAGCCTTGGAAACCTCGGATACGCCTTGTCCCAATGTAACTCGGCGTACGGAAAGCCGTCTACATTCGTCCTGGTCGATTTCTTCGACCAAGGCCCCGCCATCGCCGCCGTCGACGCAATGAATGGCGTCACGAACCCGGTGGGCCGCGTCCCAGTGCCCCCGAGAGATACAAATGAGAGCGTTGACAGGAGCCAGTCGAGTTTCCAGGGCGTGATTGACCTTGTGAATGAAGTCAAAGATGGCCAAAAGCCCAAGCTAGGCGCATGGATCTGGGCTGCTGGACAATGGACATTCGGCGGGATCAATCTGAGTGGCGGTAACGTCTTCCAGAAGAAATAAGAGAGGTTGGACATGAGAAAGGGACCGAGATGGAAGAGACTGACAGGAATGAACACAACACAACTGTTTCGAAGGGATCTGTCTTGGCTTTCGATTCCCAGATGGCATATTAGCCTAGACTTTGGTCTCAGAACCGCCTTCGACTTGCGGCGGAGACAATTCGGCTTCGACGCATCACCGCCATTACCACACGCGCAACCATATCTTGTGTCACCACAGACACGAATCCACCGGTTTTCTGGGCAACGCAGTGTGGAACCGAGTTGACGGCACAGGCCGCCCCGTCAAATCCGGCCCCCTAAAACAAAATTTCACGACGACATGGCAAATAACAGAACATGAGACGACACGACACGACACACGGCCGCCCGGTGCATATATGTTGTTATTGTTTTTGGACATATTCTGAGTGGGAAAGCAAGTAAGCGAGATATCCTATTGCGTCGGCACCTCACGGGCACCGGCATGGGCACGGCACTGGCACGGTTGGATATTGCGGTGCATTGAATAGCGACCGGCGTCTTCAAGAGTTTGGTCAAGGAAGAGACTGGCTGGATTATCGTCCATCCATTCAAATAGGATATGAAAGGGATTTTTGTCCGGAGAATTGAATTTTGGGCCATCAACTGGACGAATCCTGAAATGGATCGTGTTCGGAAAATCGAGATTGGAATAGGAATTGAAGTCGGGACCAGACGGATTTGGATCTGGATTTGAATCAACTGTGGTATATATACCCTGTAACGAGTCTTTAACGGGTCCATCCATCTACCGAGTACTTGAATACTGCACAGTCATATCGGGATTGCTGGCTGGCTCGCTAGTCAGTACCCTAAATACTCCCCCGAATCGTCTTCTCCTCGTAAGATTCCCGAGCCTTCGACATCCATCGCGGATTCACAGATTTCACAACCTCGCAAACACCCTCTTCAGCACCTCCCGTCCCTTGTACAGGTTCTCTACCCTCATCCTCTCGTTATCTAAATGCGCATTGTCGCTCGCCTGGCCCATGGGGAACATGGCGGCGGGGGCATCAAACTCGCTTTCCAAAAACGATATCGCGGGGATACTGCCGCCTTCGCGGATGAACAGGGGTTCTCTGGGGAGGGTGGATGGTGGGAAGAAGCCGGTCGTGGCGAGGGAGGAGGCGCGGCGGTGGGATGTGCGGGTTGGGGCTTCTGCTGCTGCTGCGGCTGCCGCCGCCGTTGATGATGACGAGGCCGCGGCGGACTTGGGGGGTGTAGACTTGGACAGTGTTGCTGCGCCCCTCTCTGTTTCAGGCGTATGATTGCCGCCCGCGGAGATCTTGAACGCTCGTTGCTGGTGGGCTGCGATATCTGGATTCCAGACGTCGATAATGGCGTCCTTTAGGGCCGTGTAGATCTCGCTTTTCACATCGGCAAGCCAGGGATCCGCCTTCGACGTGATGGTGACGGTCAGAGTATTCGAGCTCTGTAGCTTCGCAAATTCGGCTCGCAGATATTCTGTCAGGGATTGCGCAATCTGCTCGGCTGTCTGGGACGGGACTATTCGGATTGACAGTGTCGCCTTCGCAGAGCCAGAAATGGTGACGGCTGTCTTTGCTTCGGGCACTTCGATGCGGTGCACGGTCAGATTGGGATATCGCCACCGTTGCATGAGTGAGAGAGCGAAAGCCTTCTCATTCCTGATCTCTGGATGGCCCGGTAGGAGCGATGACGTGATGGATGCGTAGGCCTTTACTTCCGACTCAGACAGATCATCTACCGTGTCGTAGAAATCCGGAATTGTGACCTTTGTTCCAGAAGGGCCGACAAGGGCAGCAAGCAGAACCGTGAGGTCCTTGAGTGGCTCGTGCTGGACAGACTTGCCGTCCATCCCCGAATGCAGATCTGGTCGATTCGAAGTGACACTTACACTGGCATGAACAACTCCGCGCATGCCGAACGTGAGACAGGGAATGTGATCATCGAGCCAGTAACTATTGGATAGAAGAATGTAGTCCACGGGACCAATAGCGTCATGGGCAGATTGAACCGTCTGGCGAAAACCTCGAGAGCCAGCTTCTTCGTCGCCTTCAAGAAGAAACGTCACATTGCAGGACAATGAGTCGTGCTGGACTAGATCGGCCACGGCATAGATGGCCGCCAAGATGGGACCTTTGTTGTCGGTCACACCGCGACCGTAGAGATACGAGCTGAGTGGTTGAAGAACGAACGGATCCCCGTTCCACGTTGGATTTGAGCTGTTGGCGTCAAACTCGGCGTCGACCACATCGTAATGGCCATAGAAAAGGATCGATCGCGTGGATTCGGTATGTTTCGAGGCCGGAAATCTCGCGAGTAATATTGGATTGACACCTTCCTGGGGCGATAGGAGGCAGGTGGTCCCACCAAAGGCATTACATTTCTTGCGGAGAAAGGTGACGGCTTCGTGACAGTCCCGAACACATATTGGGTTCAAAGCGACTGTACGGTACGCCACAAACTCTCGAAGGGCGTTGACGAGTTCATCTAGCCATTGTTAGCATAATACAAGATGTTTGCACGTGGGTGGCAGGCTTACCATTGCTGCGTGCAGAAGCAGCTATGGAGACCTGAGAACCAGCTTTCCCGCTCCAAAAGGACACAAAGCTGTTGTTGCCTCCCGTAGCGACCATATCATGATCAGGGGTTGTTGTCAACCCCATCGCTAGAATCTTTCCAGCCGCCGCTTGCCACGATTCGATCTCTGCGAAATGGTCGTCGTACCGCTGATAGACGTCAACGGCTAGTTTCTCACCGGGTGATGGACTTACCTTGATCCATCCTTGGCTAGTTCCGCACAAGATACTCTCTACGCCTACCAGGATCTGACTGACATCGCCATGGCCCACCTGTAACCTTTGCACGAGTTGGTTTGATGCAAGATTGTAAATGTGAGCAATGCCATCCGACAAGCCAGCATAAAGGAACGAGCCTCTGTATGAGAGGCTCAACACATTAGAGTCTGCATTTTTGAATTTTGTGATCTGTTTCGGGCCAGATTCAGAGAGACCATCAATCGACCAGAGCTTGATGGTTCCGTCGCCACCCCCGGTGATGAGGACTTCTTCATCTCTGCCACGAGTAAAGAGCCCTTTCACCAGTAGCATACTGTAAATATAGCTTTTGTGGGCGTACGGCAGATAGTTGCTGCTTGGGACGGTCAGGACTCGACCACCCAGGTTGTTCCGTCCGCTGGTTGCGCCTTCTTCATCGGCAATGACATTAGCTATGCCTCCAGGTCCCAAGGAGTCAAAGAATCGATGTTGGCGAGAACCCGGTGAAAAGGTTAACGCGGGAGACTTGGCCGTGGCGTCAGTGCTGAGCCTGTACCATTGAATGCTGGCATTCTGGGCGCCCCAAAACAGAGTCTGGATCTTGGTCGAATGGACCACGCAGAAGACATCTCCGATTTCAAAATGCGAATAAAGAGAATACAGTCTCTGTAAAGACTCGGTGGACCAGACATTGACAATGGCATCGGCACCAGTGGAGAAAAGGAGCGACCTGTCGTCAGAGAGCGCGATGCTCAGGACACTCTCTTTGTGGGCAGGGACAGTAGCCAGCAGCTCGTACGTCTCGAGAGACCACACCACGATGTGGCCTCCTTGGGTGCCGGCAAAGATGACATCGTCGTCGACCGCAAGAGCCTGGACACTGCCAGGCGCCTTGATCTGGTGGAGAGGGTGTTTGACTGAAGTCGACGCAGGCCCGTCGGGTCCAGGGGTAACGGCCTCGTCCGAGAGTTCACCGGCTTCGGACTCGCTCGAAGGCGCGGAATATGATTTGTGAGGTGACCCGTTCTGCTTGACCGAATCAGTTGGGGCCATGGAAGAGACTAAGTAATATCAGATGATATGGAACAAAAGAGAAGACAAGGGCGGGCAATGGAGATGGTCGGGAGCTCGCACCTCCGAGTCGTCTGCCCAACGCCACGGACTTGGGCGCAGCTGCGGCGGCGGCTGCGGCTCGCTGTCGCCGATTTGGCACATTGTCGCACCACGATTAACAAGCTCGTCGACAGCGACCTTTGCGCTATTCCCTCAGGTGACGGCATTATAAATCCATCTTGCTCCTACTGTTACTTCAAGGAATCCTTGCGCACGGCTAGAGGAAAAATCCAGAACGAGTTTGTCCAGCATCCAACAGAAAATTCTGAGCACCAGCCACCTTCGCCTCTTTCGCCCTGCCGATGGCGTGATCGCGCATCAGCTCGCCAACAGCCTTGCCATCATCAACTACAACAGCAATTTCTCAAAATGACCTTTACCTTCACGCAGCCTTCAACACTCGGCCCCTTCAAGCCGACTCTCATTCTTCACGGGGGCGCAGGCTCGCTCTCCCGTGCAAATCTTCCCCCAGACCTCTATGCTCGTTACCGGACCTCCCTGATCAGATATCTAACAGTTACCCGTGATTTACTCAACTCGGGCACGTCCGCGCTTGACGCCGCATGTCATGCCGTTGCCTTGTTGGAAGATGACCCCTTGTTCAACTGCGGTCGTGGATCCGTCTTTACCGAGTCTGGAACCATCGAGATGGAAGCTAGTGTGATGGTTTCGTCGGTTGATCCCGCGGGGCCTCCTGCTGGTGGAATCAAACGGGCCGCTGCTGTCAGTCTCATCAAGAACACGAGACATCCGATTCTGCTCGCCAAAGAGGTTCTCTTGGAAGCAGATAAAGACGGTGGCTTGGGCGGCACGAGTACGATGCATTGCCAGCTGAGTGGGAGAGAGCTTGAGGAATGGGGTTGGAGGGAGAGGGCTCTCGAGAAGAAACCAGACCGTTGGTTCTGGACTAAAAAGCGCTGGGAGGAGCATAGGAGAGGTCTTCACCACGACGACACCTACTCGTTCAACAATCTCGTTGCCTCGCTCGATGCATATTCTGAGTCACCCTTTGAAGACGACGACGACTCCGAGGTGGATGAGATTCCGAGTCAAGGCACCGTCGGAGCCGTGTGTATGGATTCTTGGGGCAATCTCGCCGTGGCAACGTCGACCGGAGGACTCACCAACAAGAAAGCCGGGAGGATTGGCGACACACCTACCATCGGGGCCGGATTTTGGGCAGAAGCCTGGGAAGAAGAATCCGTTAATGTACCCCAGCTTCGACAAAGAGAGTCTTCCCGCAGAACTTCAGGACTCGGCAAACTGCCCGTCCTAGACCAAATCCTGTCCCAGGCAAACGAGTCCTTGGGGTCTTGCCTCAATCCATCCCAACCAGAACATCCATATCAACCGCTCAACGGAGCTCCTCCAGCATATTCCCCCTCAGCAAGTGCCTCATACCAACCTTATCCGTCTCCTCTCGTGCGACATCCCTCGTCATCTTCCACCCAACCAATTCGAAAACGTCGTCGCGCCGTAGCAATGAGCGGTACCGGCAACGGGGATTCCTTCCTCCGTCTCAACGCCGTACGCACCGTCGCCGCACTTTGTCGCCTCTCCGGTCCGCCCTCCGTATCGCTCGCCGATGCAGTCAGAACGGTCACAGGCCCCAATGGCGAGCTGCAACGCTCGGCCGGTGATCGCTGGGGACGGACCGGCGAAGGCCAAGGCGGCATTATCGGAATTGAAGTCATTGACGAGGAGCAGGAGGAAGAAGGCCCTCAGCCATGGGTGGCGGATGGCTTCAAGAAGCAAACAACCGAGGGGAAAATGCCCTCCTCCAAAAAGAAGAAGAGGGGCCACGTGGTGTCCGACTTCAATTGTGGCGGTCTGTTCAGAGCGTATTACGAACTTGACGAATCGGGCGTCGAGATGCCCAAAGTCATGGTCTTTCATGAGGAGTACTGACTGACTGCCAATCTATACACGGGTACAATGAATGGGCGACCGACTGATGAGCAGCGGCCAGAAGAAGAATAAGAAGAATAATCCAGATTTAGATTTAGACTTGGATTTAGACTACTCGTATAATGATAATTATAATCTAGAGCCACTTTGTCATATAGATTGTTATAAGATGAAATGGAAAGAAAGAGCCGCAGCGCGAAAATGATTGATGGACACGATACATATGACTTTTTCGTTTTGAAACACCAAAGATAGACTGGATTCTTCTCTGCGAAATTCCTCCCTTTGTTCTATTCTTCCAAAGACCCGACTGAGAGACACTGTCCCAAGAAGGCCTTTTAATCACCGCTCGTGACATTCTCCTGTGTATAAACCGCGGCGCTGTGGTTACATGTCTCGGCTCCCCCCAGCTTCTCTTTACGTCTCTTTGCTTGCCACTACAAAAAGCCTCGAGCCGGCTGGGTCACAGAGGCCAGTTCATATGATGACTCTACCGCTCGCTTTGAGAGTTCACTTTTGGCCGACACTGCGTCTTTCGTGTTCATCTGTAACGTCAATGCCGACATTAACTGTGTAGCAAGCGTCTCTGCCCCAATTACATGCGTGAGTTGCGTCACCCGAATTGGGATTTCTCGCTCATGAGAACCCAGTTGTAGGGCTCATTGGAGCCTAGTCGGGGATAAACAGAGAGATGGAGGAGGAGGTAGCTGATGCTGAAACGGCTCTATTCTCTCCGGTTTTTGTCGAAGCAGGCCCAAAACTCTCTGCTACCTGGATGTTCTCAAGACTGCCCGGATTGATGGCATCGACGACTCTCTTTTGCTCATAAAGATGGGGCTGTGTCAGCGCAATGACCTCCAAAGCGAGACGAGATCGAACACAGATCTAGATCTAGATTAGTATTCCAGCGTTCTCTTCATAGTGTCGTATATTCCTATGCATAGATTAGTCCCTGAAATTCTGCGCGGCGTGCCGCCGAATGACGGACTTACTCGCAATGTCTGGAATGTTAAATTTCTCAAAGATCAATCCTGGATGAGTACTCCAGCCCGTTACTCTGGCGACAGGAGCTTCCAGTCGAAGGAACGCCCCTTCTTGTATACTTGCAGCGACTTCGGCTCCGACGCCTGCATTGTACATGCTTTCGTGCACAACAACTGCGCGACCTGTCTTGTTCACGCTTTCCATGATAGTGGCTCGGTCCCAGGGATAGATGGCCCGCAAGTCGACGAGCTCGATGTTCAGACCCTTGATTTCCTTCTCCAAAGCTTCAATGGCAGCGGAGCAAAGGTACAACGGTTGTCCGTAAGAGATGACTGTGAGATCTTTGCCTTGCTTTAGGACCTCGGCTTTGTCTAGTGGCAGAGTGTATGGGTCTCTTGGAACAAATTCCTCGGCAGCGCGGTAAAGAACTTTTGGTTCCATAAAGATGACTGGGTCGTGGGAGTGAAGGATAGACGCGGTGAGCAGTCCCTTGGCCTGGCTTGGTGATCGAGGCATGACAACCCGGAGACCGGGGACGTGGGTGAATAGCGATTCTGGACTTTGCGAGTGGTACAGGGCACCGTGGCCAACGCTACCGCAGGGCATTCGCACGACCAACCCTCCACAGTTGCCCCCCGTTGCGCCTTCTCTGTACCGGAACTTGGCTGCTTCGTTGACCAACTGATCAAAGGCTGGAAAGACGTAATCTGCAAACTGGATTTCCGCAACAGGTTTCATGCCCTCAGCCGCACAACCAATAGCAAAGCCAACAATCCCTTGCTCGGACAGCGGAGTGTTGAATACTCGACTGGTGCCGAACTCGTCTGTCAAGCCCTTGGAACACCGAAATACACCACCGAAAGCCACGTCTTCGCCGAACAGGAGCACATTCTCATCGCTCTTCAAAGCATGATGAAGGGACGCGTTAATGGCGCCATGGAGGTTCACCCAGTCGACCGGAGCATCTTGAGAGAGTCCATAGGCAGTCCGGGCACTGTTCTGTGATTGGTGAAGGACGGCCGTCCTTTTGAAGTCGATGGGCTTGTTCAAACGAGCTTCGGATGATGCTTGACTGGCGTGTCGAAGCTGGGTTGACGGCTTCAATGCTCTGAAAACCACGTTGAGCCTCCGACCAGCAAACATATTGGAGAACACGACAAGCGTATTGAGTTGTGTCAGAGCCAAATGAGAAGGGAAGCCAGACATTATGAAGGGGTTTGCTGGTAGATGGTGGAAGCCGACGATAAGCGCACCTGCACAGCGTTTGTAGCCGCCTCCGGACATCGGCAAACGGGGGCTTCAACCCACGTGGGGAGCCTCGCAAAAGTTTCCCGATTCAGCATTCCAAAGCACCCAAGGCCACTAAGGACAGTGAACCATGACGCGGTACGGCGTCCAGCGCGGGACGAAGCTTGGTTTGCCTGGTAACGAGTAGATGCACTTCTTGCGACTCGGTACCAACGCAAGCTTTCAACATCGTCAAATAGGCATTTAGTAAGTTCAGACTTCACAGCCGCACCACGCCGCTCCATCCTCTTCCTCCACGCAGTTCCCTTTCCGCCAATCATTTCTCTATTTCACACAACGCAGATCTACAGCAGCTCACCTTCAACCCCCTCACCTTTGTCCGTTTCGTTACTGTCTTTATCTGTACTCTCCACAAAGACCATACACCGCATTCACCTTAGAGGCTAATACAAAAGAACGTCCCCAAAACCTCACCGATCACACCGGGCAGCGAATCGAACAGAACCGGGTCGAAGCATTCTACAAGTCGAGGTTGAAAAGCTACATCTATCTGCGAAGATGTCGGAACCAGCATAGCGGACCTGGTCAAACTATGCAACCACAAAGATCAAACCCCTCTCTATCTGTGCGGCCCATCGTCTTGGGGCTCGCCAAAATCTTGTTCCTCTCCCTTGGGCAGATACCCATCGTTCGAGCTGCCCCGGTCTACGCGGCGAAGCTATTCGCTGCCGCCGAAGAACAGGAAGGGAAAGATCCCGATGACCCGAGCCTATGGATATACTTGACTGTGGCCGCAGTGCTTGTTTTGTTGGGAGGGGCCTTTGCCGGGTTGACGATCGCGTTGATGGGACAGGTGAGTCAAACACAAGGAAAATAGATTAGGCAGGCACTGATACCGAGTCAAAGGATGAAATATACCTACAAGTCATAAAGGATTCTGGTGAAGGAAAAGAGAGAGCGCATGCTGCCAGGGTGCTTAAGCTGCTCCGGAAAGGAAAGCATTGGGTCCTGGTCACATTGTTATTGAGCAATGTCATCACCAACGAAACTCTTCCCATCGTGCTAGATCGGTCGCTGGGCGGGGGGTGGCCGGCCGTCCTGGGATCGACCGTCTTAATTGGTATGGCCCCCTTCAGCTGACCGTGCCGTCCCATCTCGCTAATTTTCTGCGCAGTCATTTTTGGTGAAATTGCTCCTCAGTCCGTCTGCGTCCGTTATGGCCTCCCGATCGGCTCCTGGATGGCGCCATTCGTCCTGATCCTCATGTACATCTTGGCCCCTGTGGCATGGCCAACCGCTAAACTGCTTGACTATCTCCTCGGGGAAGATCACGGAACAGTATACAAGAAAACGGGGCTGAAAACATTAGTGTCCTTGCACAGAAGTCTTGGAGAAGCCAGTCAACGGCTCAATGCCGATGAAGTGACAATAATCAGTGCTGTTCTCGATCTAAAGGACAAGCCGGTCGGGAGCATCATGACGCCAATGGACGACGTCTTCACTCTGTCCCTCGACGATGTTCTAGACGAATCCACCATGGACGACATTCTGTCACAGGGCTATTCGAGAATACCCATCCACCACCCAGATAACGACTCCAACTTTGTGGGCATGTTGCTGGTCAAAATGCTCATCACATATGATCCAGAAGACGCGAAGCCTGTCCGGGACTTTGCTTTGGCAACTTTACCAGAGACTCGCCCCGACACTAGCTGTCTGGACATTGTGAACTTCTTTCAGGAAGGCAAATCCCACATGGTCCTTGTATCGGAGTATCCTGGAGAAGATCACGGCGCCCTTGGTGTGGTAACCCTGGAAGACGTCATTGAAGAGCTGATTGGTGAAGAAATCGTGGACGAATCCGATGTATTTGTCGATGTGCACAAAGCCATTCGACGAGCCATGCCTGCGCCGACCAGGCGTATCCCAAAGACGTATTTCCTTCCGGATGAACCCTCGACTATCAATGGCGCCGCCCCAGACTTGGCCAACATCGACGAAAGTGAAATACTCTCCCCCGAAGACTTGCAGAGAGCGAAGACGGCGGATAATCCACCGCAGAAATCAAAAGGCCTGGTTGCTGCTAGAAGACGCTCGAGCGCAGGAAACAGCGCGGCTGGAGACAGCAAGGCTGGACGAAGAGCCGCCAGCACAGATGAGATCAAGGAGCATCTGAAGCACCTTGGGCCGTCCAACCTGGCGAGTAGGCCGAGGTCAACTCGGTATAACACGGTCAAGATCAAGCCCGGCAACAGCACAGCGTCCAAGGAGGATGAAACTCGCGTGACTCCAGTTCGCCGGATCTCTGAAAATGTTTCGGAATATCAGAGTGGCATTGGTGAAGGCATGCTCAGCTCGGGTGGTAAGGTCGCCAGTGGTGGCGTGCAGGCCTTGAAGCAGGGTCATGGCTCTATTTCGGGTTCACCGAATGAAAGGAGGCTACACCATACAATCCAGACGGAATCAACACACGAACAAGAATCTAACCATCATGATGGAGCAAATGACGTTCAACAATCCAGACCACCTGCGAGGACTCTTGAGAGCCAGAGCACCATTGGTAGCTTGCCCGACTCACGAACTCCGTCGAGAAGCCCCTATTACCACTCTAAGGGTCCAGCCCGAAGTGGTAGTATCACAGAAAACATTGTCGACACTAACGGTTTCCGAAAGATTGTGCTTGAGATGACGTCAAGCAGCGAGTCGAACGAGGAAGAAGAGAACTCAGGAGCCAACAAAGGACATCACGGGTATGATGAACGCAGACACCTATCTGGGGTAAAACTACCGGCCGGCAGCAATGAACATGCTCCTGAACCCCATGATGATGACTCGAAGAAGAAAAAGCGCAGACGACGGAAGCATGGCCATGGAAACAGAAAAGGGGAACGTGAACCACTGTTAGGCGACTAGTAGAACTGGTGGCCACTACAAAAAAGGAGGGCAACATGGTGATATCGTTTCGATTGTGCTGCCTTCGATATTCGGTCTGGACCATGTATTTCTCAGAAAGGACACAGAACTAACGCCAAGGATACATTGCGAGGCTGTGAGTAAAGGTCTGGCAGAAACAGCGTGAGGCATTGAATTCACCTGCTCTGAATAACAGTCTTCATTCACTAGACTGTTTATTCACTGTCTTGAATTGAATCACAACAAGCATAACACGACACGCCTCTTGTAAGTCCCTGAGGAATCTCTTTTTGTTTTCCCTGTCTTCCTCTCTTTGTCCTCCTTACTCCTTTGTCTCTTCCTGCTCCTCCGCTGTCTCCCCCTGCGCCCTTGTTAGCGTTGAGGCACGACACCTGTTCAAGATCTCCAAGGGACACCTTTTCAAAATCTCCGTGCAAACACATTTTACCATGGAGCCCGAGATGGACAACGTTTTCACCATCCGCGGCTATATCAGAGCTGCCAGAGCCCAAACCACGAAAGAAGACGTCGAAATTTTCAAAAATACGCTAATCAAGCTCTGCCTCCTTTTCTTCGTCTACCACCTCGGTTGCAATGAAGTCCTCTCCTCGTTTTACCAGACCTTGGAGAACCCCAGAGAGGGTCTCCCAAAGCTGAAGACCTCGGCGTCGACTTACCTCCAAAATGTCATCAACACCATTAAAGCCAGCTTCCTGTTGCTACTTATGGCACAGGTGTTGGGCGTACCTGGAACCACGACTGTGTGTTGCGGCCTGCTCGTGTTCTCCTTTCTGCAAGAATGGCGGCCCGCCATAGCAAGAATTTTCAATATCCTCACGCCAATTTTATCCAGCTTCCTTCACAAGTGTAAGGACTGCCTTGATCCGATCGCGTTTGCTGTGAGACTGGCGGTCCTCGCCCACAGACTATACTGCGTCATCTGGCAGTTCGGCGCCTACATCGTCAACAGTCTTCCTTGGAACACTCTCAAGAACACTTTTCTCTCAGTCACTTGCCTAGTCTTCAGATGTCCTTTCTTCGCTTTTGTCGATTTTATTTTAGAGCTCAAATTTCGAATGAGTGGGGGTCGAGAGGACCTCAGAAAAGTGTCGAGAGAGAGAGAGGAGCTCCGTGGAACGGTGGCGCGGCTTAAAGACGAGAATGCAGCTCTTCGACTCCTGCAAGCGAAGCCCAAGGACAATCAAGGAGTTTGGATACGTGAGCGGCCGTCCCCTTCAGGACAGCAGTACTCGTTCCAGTTCGAGCAACTCCGGAAGCATCGCCAGCAGAGTCAAGCGGCGCACAAGCAGAGCCAGCGATGGCAGAAGTTGTTTGAAGAGCGCCAAGCCCGTATCGACGAGCTCGAGGCCAACGACGCCGACGCGGAGGCTCGCGTCATAGCTGCCACCGCTCATAGAGATGAGCGCATCCGAGCCTTAGAGGCCGAGATGAGGACCGCTGCCGCTTCGGCGGCTTCGGAAGTCAATGCCTTGATGTCGGCTCTTGAAGCTGAAGAGGCCGAGTCTCATAGACTCAGGTCTTCTCTTGAGGCTGGAAAGGCTAAGTCTGGCAATCTCGAGTCTCTCCTGGAATCTGTGAGGGTGGTCTCTCAGGGACTAGGTCAGGATGTTGCTGCGGTTCGGTGCGCGACCGACGAAGCGTCAGCACTCCTCGACAAGGTGAGGATGGAGGCGGCTGAGGCCGAGAGAGCGGCTGCGAGCCGAGTTCGCGAACGGAAGGACGCTGAGATCAGCGTCCTGAAGAATGAGCTGGCAGAGGCACAGGCCGATGCCGTCGCGGTTGTCGTCGTAGACACCGCAGAGATTGGTGTCCAGACCGATCTTGCTGCTGAGGCATCTCCGGTGAACAACTCGGTAGATGTCAATGACGCAGGCACTCAGACCGAGTGCATCAGTTTGGACATCCAGTCTCAGCTCGAAGCGTCCGCGAAGTGCGGGTCCAAGCTGCTGGAGACGAAGAAAGCCCTCGAGGAGAGAGGCAAGGAGCTGCTGGACACCAAGAATGCCCTCGAGCAGAGAGGCATGGAGCTCGCCAGTTTCCAGCACGCATGGAAGAAAACCTCAGACACCCTCATTCAGTGCAATGAGCATCTTCAAAGGACACTGAAGGAAGCAAGCGAGCTGCGTTCATGCAACAATCGAGGCAACCAACAGTTGCAGCTGACCCAGCGAGAGGTCCAGCAGCTCAAGGAGATATTGGCCATCCGCGAGGAGCAAGCCAAGAGCATCATGAACCAGCTTCAGCGGTGCCAGCAGAGGGATCAGCAGCAGCAGCCGGTTGCTCAAGAAGTTCAGTACTGGAGAGAACGCACGGAAGCAATCTCAAATGAGATGACAAGACTGCGAGCCGAGCACGTGGAGGTCAAAGGAAAACTGGAAGAAATCCAGCAGAGATTCAAGGCCGGCGCCAGCCACTTCCATAACCTGCAGCGAGACGCGACGCAACAATTGGAGGCAAAAGAGAAACGGGAGAAGGAATTGGAAGCTGAACTCGCGCGCGCCAGAGACGTGCAGCGTCTGGATTACAACAGCCAAGTCGAAAGCCTCCAAAAGCAGGTCATGACCAAAGATGAAGAGATCCATGGTCTCCGACGGCAGCTTGATCAACAAAACATGGCTGCAGAAGTGGCAGTGAACACCCCTAAATCTGGCAGGATCGGTGTGTCTCCCTTCCCGACGCCAACAAAGACTCCGATCATGAAGGTCCTAGAAAATACAGTCCTAGAGCATGAAAAGGACAAGAAGAGACACGCCCTTGAAAAAGAGCAGTTTGAACGAAGAATCGCGGCGCAAGCCACGGACATCGTGACACTTCGGAATACGAACGATCACTTGGAGGAAAAGAACGATCACCTAGAGGACGAGAACCAGAGACTGCAGACCGAGATCAAGAAGCTCCAAGACCAAATTGAAGGAAATGCCATGACTGTTGGCTTTGCTGAAGCTTTCCTCGAAGAGGACAAAGAGGAGGTTAAACAAGCCCAAGAGGAGGCTGAAAGTTGGAAGACGCAGTACGACGAGGCGCAGGCGTCAGTGCAGAATATGCAGCTTGATCTGCAATTCAAGGAAGGCCAGGTGGATGCAGCACGCATGGAAGCAAAACTGTACAAGACGCAGGCACAGAACCTGCAAGTGGAACAAGCGCCCATACCACAGCCTGATCACCTCCCGTCCTTGCGGCAACGGCCAAACAAGCGCATCGCGAGCGAAGACCTCAAAGAGGAACTCGAACAACCAGTGCAGGAGAGAAAGAAGATCATGGCAAGAGGCCATTACCAAGGTCAGCTAACTGAAGCTCGACGCCCACAAGCTCCGATAATCCAACCCCCTCAAGCGCAAACATTCCGACCTCAATACCGGGCAAATCCCCTCTTTCCCCGAGGGTCGGGAATTCCGCTGCAGCTTCCACAGATACAGGTCACTCAACCTCAACAGGCGCCGATTACGCAGACCGCGTGGCAGGAGGATGAAGAAGAAGCCGAAGAGAAGACGGACGACTCATCCATCATCTCGGAAGAAGAATGAAGCGCAGAAACTGTTAGACAGATATCTCAGACCCTACAAAGGCAATCGCAAGGCGATCAAGAAAGAACCGCCCATTCAGATTTACGAAGAACCAGAAAGAGTCGAGGGGACTCGGTGGAGGATCATGGGATATTCGAAGTGATGCAGATTTATCGCATGTCGACAAGTAGTCACAAGGCATTCAAAAGAAAAGAGTGCATGGATCAGACAAATGGAAAAATGAGAGTCAACGCCGCCTCGACGGAGGATTAGGGGATATTCAAACCCGATACGACATGTATCGCAAGTCGACAAGCGATGACGGGGTACTCGAAGAAATCAGAGTGCACTGTGACATCAGGGATATAAATCCAGATCGGTACACAATCAGCAATCTCGAGGCATTCCAAGAAAAGAGTGCACTCAGAAACCAGTGAAATAATCATGGATCGACGACGACGACGACGACGACGACGACAACACCCAGCCACAAGGCATTCCAAGAAATGGGGTGTATCAGAAATCACGAGGCGTTCAAAGAAAAGAGTGCATTCAGAAACCAGTGAAACCACAAAGAGTCACAACAGACTCGGGGGAGGAATGGAAATATGGGATCACATATCACAGATGATACCAGCTGGCAAAGGCAAAGGCAATCGGCAACAAAGGGCATTGGCATTTAATCAATGAGCAAAGAAAGTTCATGGATTCGGCAGGCATATCAAACCACCAAAGTTTTGATAGAGACAGGAGGAGGAGGGCTGGCTGTAGGCGCCCAGATGAATCACGGGTGGTTCGGTGGACTTGGACATGTATACAAAAGAGTCGAGAACGGACTTGGCCGAGGATGTACAGGGAAAGGGAAATGGAAAGGAAAGCAAACCCAGATGCTATTACTCAGTTGAGAAGATGGTGAAGTGAGTGACTGATTGAATGCCTTGATTCCCTGCCTCGATGATGCTCGGTGCTCGGTGCTCAATATGAGAGCCAGCAAGCACCAAGCCAGCCAGATAGACGGAAAAGAAAAGAAAAGAAATAAAGATCTTTGGACCAACGTGACGCTTCTGTTTCTCGCTCACTGTAGCCTCGCTTTGTTGTGGATGGTCTGGACGGGTGGTTCGGTACCTCCGGCGTACTGGTGACCTTTCAAGTTTCAACAGAACTAACACTCTGCCTGGACTCTGACAGTGGGTGACAGTTTTGAAAAAGCGCATTCCGTCGATAAAAAGCGCGTGCCCGCGCTCGAGAGTCAAGAGTGAAACACGCGCCGGAGTTGCGAAAAGCTCATTCTTCATTTCACCCCATCTGTTCACCCATTCATGAATCTATCCGTCCTTCCCTCCCTTCCATCCATCCACCCTCTTCCCATCTTCGTTTGCCCTCACACGGAACAAGACAGACAGACTACGCCGGGCTACACGACGGGCAAGGCAAGTCAAGTCAACTCGGAAGTCAAACTTACTCAAGTCGCCCAAGTCGATTCCCACCGCCGCCGCCGCTGACGGATCTCCTCTACTTCCCGAACCCGCCCTCGAAATCCCCTCGTGTGACCCTCTCCAGGTTGATTGCCGCGGACACGTATGCCAGGTGACTGAATGCCTGCGGCGTGTTGCCCAGCTGTTCGCCAGATAGCGCGATTTCTTCGCTCAGCATGCCTACTCAGGAAAGCGCAGCAGTGCGCGGGGAGTCAGTCCAGGTCAGATCAGGTCAGGATCACGGCGGATGGAGGTATATCGGAGGGAAAATTGGATGGGTGAATGCCAGACAGAAAGAGCCACTCACCGACGTGATTGCGGAAATTCGTGACCGTTTCAAACATGGTGTTCGCTAGGTCGAGGTACTTGGAGTCATATTTTGCCGCGCGAATCAGGGACTCGATGAGCCACAATGTGCACATCACGAAGGTGCCTTCGCGGCCACCGACGCCTAGCACTCAGCAGCATCAGCATCGACAAGTGGTTGATGACAAGAGCAAGGGATAAGGTAAGAGGCTGGATACCCACCATCATCAGTCTGCTCGTGATCATACCGAAACACAAACCCGGCGCTCGTGAGTCCTCCTTTTTCCGGCGTCCGCAAGATCCGGTCCAACGTGCCCACAAACTGCGGATCATTCGGACTCATGAAGAAGACCAGTGGCGCAATCAACACCGCGGAATCCAACGTCGTGTTCGACTCGTAGCTCTGCACGAAGCTGTTCATCTGATAGTTGAACCCTTTCTGCATCACCTCCTCGTAGATCGTATCTCTCGTCTGTAGCCATTTGTTGCGATTGGGACAGGGGAAGTTCCTCTTCTCGGAGAGACGAAGAGCGCGGTCGACAGCGACCCACAGGAGAATTTTCGAGTAAGTGAAATGCTGCTTGCGGCCGCGGACCTCCCAGATAGACATGTCTTGTTCGGTCCAGACTTCGCAGATAAAGTCGGTGAGGTAGCGGATGTCAAGCCACTGGGCATAGAAGATGGGCTTGCCGTGTTTGTTGAACAGGTAGATCGAGTCCATGAGTTCGCCGTAGATGTCAAGTTGGACGTGGTCGGTGGCGGCGTTGCCGATGCGGACGGGAAGGCTGTCTTGATACCCACCGAGATGGTCGAGCGTGAGCTCCGGCAGACACGTCGAACCGTCGATGCTGAACATTAGAGGGAGGTGGTGCCTCTCGCCCGCAGAGGCTTCGGCAATCTTGCGCCATTCGGCAATGCGGGCAAAAATGAAGTTGATATACGCTTCGGCTTCGGCCGGAAAGCCCATTTTGAGGAATACGTACACTGTGAAGCTGGCGTCCCGCACCCAGGAGTAGCGGTAGTCCCAATTTCGCGGCCCGCCTACGGCCTCTGGGAGAGAGAAGGTCGGTGCCGCGACAATGGCGCCTGTAGGATCATATGTCAGAAGTTTGAGGATGAGCATGCTCCTTTCGACTTCTTGCTGGAAGCGCCCGCGGTAAAGGCAGGCGCGCACCCAGCTTGTCCAGAACTTGTAGGCCTCATTCTCGAGGTTCTTTACAAGATCGTTTGTGAGATGTGGAGCGACGTGACGATTGCACATGATCATGAAGATCTGTTGGCCTTCTTGGAGGTCGAAGCGGGCGCGGAACGCTCGTGGTTTGATATCAGTGCTGACGCCTTCGTTGAGCTTGATCGGCTGGAACATCTTTTGTGGTCCATTAACCGGTCGGTCGTGTGTGCAGTATGTGGCGTGGAATTCTGGAATGTCGCCACATCCATCCCTTTTCTTGTCGTCGGGAACCCAAGCAAGGGACTGGTGATAGGTGCCATCCTCGCTCCTGACTTCAGAGACTCGCATGGAACCCTTGTCTCGTGCATAGTCAGGTCGGGGGCACAGTTCGATATAAATGGACATTTTCCCGCGGACGCACTCTAGCTTCCTCACCAGGGTGGACCCGCTCCATTTCTCTCTCAGGACTTTGTTGTGTTTGGAAACGGCAAAGAAGTCAGTGAGATTGACCACGCCATCTTCGTCAATCCACTTTGTTTGAAGGAGGTTAGAAGATGTCCGATAGTTCTGTTTGCACACTGTACTGCTTTGCGGGCTGATCTTCCAATGCCCCCCGCCGCCATTGGTTGTGTCCAGGATGTTGGCGAAGATAGATGGGGAGTCAAAGTGCGGCCAGCACATGAAGTCAATGCTCCCATTCTTTCCAACGAGGGCGCAGGTTCGCATGTCACCGATGAGTCCATAGTCTTCAATCTGGAGGGGTTTCGCCTGTCGTGATATTTCACCCATGATGAAGCCAAACGGGTTATGGTATCTGGGGCGAGGATGAAAGAGTTAAGGAGCGAGATGGCAAGGAGGGATTGAAACAGGCAGGTGAGCAGGGTACCAAAGCAAAAAGGAAGAATCTGGGAGGGGGAACCGCCCGAACGTCGAGAGTTTCGCATTGGATCACGGGGACATACCAAAAGAGACAAATACGGATGACTAAGGAGAAGGGAGGGCAGATTGGCAGAGTTGACGCCCAACAGCAAAACTAGTGCCTGGTATTTGCCTGATTCATCAAGTCACACTGGCCAGCTACGTATCAGTCATTGGCACGTAGGATGAAGTAATCTTTCGACTTGATATCGGTTGAAATCTGTGGCAGTTGTTCATCGATCTCATTTGAGGTTGTTGTTGATAGACCCTTTACGTACATAGTGGCTCGGATAAACCGTTCCGGCGCTAAAGTATGTGAGATCACGTGCACACCCAAACTGGTCTATTCGGGCTGTTATGGGCTTAGCAGCTGACTTGCTCACACCAGATCTCCATATCACCCCTGTCTCTCAATCAAGTGCGACCCTCATGTCTCACGAGCCATCATCTTCGTCCATACCCGTCATATCTTGTCAGTTGGTCCCGTCTCTCTCTCCGTTCTTACTCTGGGCCTCAGGCTACCAGCCATTCATTCATAGTCCGCCGCTCTTTCCACCCTGCGTCGCTTTCCAATGACTTGAATGCGCCCTTCCGTATTCCCACTTTCCTGCCACGTCTCACGCCCTTCCCATGGACACGACTCCCTACCGTGACCGCGCTTCTAGACCTGCTGTCGCTCCACCTACGACTACCTCTGACGAGGACTCACTGTTTATAAATCCTCGTCGTAAGTACAAACGGCGAGGTACTGGCTCCATCTCCGACACCAAAAGCGAAGGCTCAGAAGATGAGGCAGGTTCCTCCATGTCGGAATCAGAAGAACACGAACTAGGGCTGCTGGACTCAGATGTGGACGCCGATGATGACGGAGAAAGTGGCTTGAACCAACATGAAAGACGCAAATACATCAAAAGAAAGAGGCGGCGTGACGGGCTGGATGCGAGAATTGCTGGCACAACCGGTTTATCCAAAGACGAGGCACGAGAAGCAGACAAGAACGTCGTTCGCAATCTGGTCATCAATGCCGTCCTCATCGGCCTGTGGTATTTCTTCTCTCTGTCCATATCCATTGTGAGTCTCAAGTGATCCTATTTCTGGCAACCACTGACCAGTTTGGCAGTACAATAAGATGATGTTCTCCTCCGATCACCTCGATTTCCACTTTCCGCTCTTCGCGACCTCGCTACACATGGTTGTCCAATTCATCTTGGCCTCTTGTATCCTGCTGATATTCCCCTCCTTACGACCGTCTCAACCCCATCCTCGAGTATACGGAAACGAATCACACCCCTCCAAACCACTTGTCACACCTCTATTCTATTTTACGCGATTAGTGCCCACCGGTACGACGACATCTCTCGACATCGGCTTGGGCAATACCTCTCTTCGCTTCATCACCTTAACATTCTACACCATGTGTAAATCCTCGGTCTTGATCTTCGTTCTTGTGTTCGCCTTCCTCTTCCGACTTGAAAAGCCGTCTCTCAAACTCATCCTCATTATCCTCACCATGACCCTTGGAGTGCTCATGATGGTCGCTGGCGAAACGGCCTTCCACGCACTCGGATTTGCGTTGGCCATGTCCGCCTCTTTCTTTTCCGGCTTCCGATGGGCCTTGACGCAAATCCTCCTTTTGCGACATCCTGCCACCTCCAACCCGTTCGCCACGATGTTTTTCATCGCCCCCATTATGTTCGTCACGCTATTCTTCATCGCCTGCGTCTCTGAAACTCCATCTGCAGTCATCACGGGCATCGTCCTCCTAGTTAGGGAACATGGGGTCGCCAAAGCTCTACTTCTTCTGGTAGTTCCAGGGTGCATCGCGTTCTGCATGATCGCGAGCGAATTCACACTACTTCAGCGCACCAGCGTCGTCACTCTCAGCATCTGCGGCATCTTCAAGGAAGTAGTGACCATCAGTGCAGCGGGGATCGTCTTCCATGACGAGCTGTCTATGGTTAACATTTCTGGGTTGATAATCACCATCATCAGCATCGCGAGCTACAATTACTTGAAAATTGTCAAGATGAGAGAAGAGGCCCGAGAGAGATTGAAGAAGAAGGATGAGCAACAGTATCGCGAGTTAGATGATGAAGATGATGACGAAATCAGTAACGCCGTAGCTGCCGACTCGGCGTTACTGCGTGATGGCACCGCTGTTGTACGCGATCCAAATACGAGCTCCAGTTCAGCTTCCAGGTCCGATTCTATGCCGAATGGCGTTCTGGGACCTTCGGCGAAGAGAAAGGAAAATATGGAATAGAATTCTTTGTTTGTTGGCATTGGAATTTTCGTATGTTTTTGTTGAGAGAAAGGAGGAGTGGAAGTTGCACTTGTCCACAGCAGGTCCGTTGCAATGCGATCCGTGGAAGTTTTATTCCAGCAGCCCCTAAGTCCTCTGCCTAATAGTGTTTGTATTCCTCCAGCCTCACATGTCTCTTTAGGGCCCCGTGAGTCGCAGGGGTTAACCTTCCTTTTACAAAGAAACGACGTGGGACTTTGGAGTTACTCATCTCAGTAGAAGAGGCGGCGGTCTCACGTGTCAGGCTGGCAAAAGATACCGAAGTACGTAAAGGGTTGAACCTAACCTGATTAATCATAGCTCAATTGGCTCTGGACTACTAAGTTCGTACTCTGTTGCGGGGAAATGGGCTCTAGGTTGGACTTCAGCACAAACGGAACGACAGAAGGACGAGACTACCAACATCAGGTATGTAGCCTGGGTTTTCTTGGGGGAATAAAAAGTTTGAGTACCCGCAGCCCATCAGTCTGTCGGCACGACGTCATCGTTGTCGCTATTTTCGTTGAGCTCTCAGACGCTTCCATTGAGACTGAGTTGGATCTAGGCGCACACAGAGACATTGAAAGAGATGGCTCCTCTCTCTGCGTCGCAAACCCTTGAGATCCCGCCGTCCCCGTCCTCGTCGACAGTCTGCCTCTACATCATCGATACCGGAGCGCGGCTATGGGGTTTGCCGGGCTCGTCCATGATGGACCCTGTGCTTCCAGGCTTCGAGAAAGGAGAGGATGTCAAAGTGCCCTCGTACGCATTCTTGATCCACCACCGACAAACTAACATCCGCCTACTGTTCGACCTGAGCCTACGCGCGGATTGGGAGTCTGCTTTCCCGCCCGCGTTCGTGCAGGGAGTGCGGAGAATGGGGCTGAAAACCGAGGTCGGACGAGACGTCGCCGACGTATTGTTGGCGCATGGCGTGGATCTTGCCGAAATTGATGCTATTATTTTGAGCCATCATCACTTCGATCATACAGGAGACGTGGGCAGATTCCCGACCTCGACCGAAGTCCTGGTTGGGCCCGGCTATCGGAAGGCTTTCTTGCCAGGCTGGCCGGCGAATCGTAGACAGTTTGAGACAACCTCGGACCTATACGAGGGTCGTCGGACGATTGAGCTGAACTTTGCGCACGATAACCCAAAGGTCTCATCTATTGGAGGCTTCCTTGCTCATGATTACTTCTCCGACGGGAGTCTCTACATCCTCTCAACCCCTGGTCATACCATCGGCCATCTCTCGGCGCTGGCACGCACGACGACCTCCAAGAATGGCGGCGCGTCGACATTCATATTCCTGGGCGGCGATATCGCCCACTCACAGGCCGTGTTCAGGCCCAGCGCAAAACACCCGCTTCCAGCCGTGATTCCCACGCCAAATGATCGACCCTTCACATCTAATACCAGCCACCAGAGCGAACACATCGCCCAGATGCACCGCCTCTACTCCGAGCCAGAGGGTCAGGCGCTGTCCCGAACGACGCCGTTCAGCAAAGTCGCAGGCCCGGAGCACGATCTCGCCGAGTCGCAGCGTAGTGCAGACAAGCTGGCGGACTTTGACGGCGCGCAGAACATCTTGACCATCCTGGCGCACGATGCGAGCCTGCAGGGTGTGCTCGAGTTCTTCCCCAGGAAGGCCAATGACTGGAAGGAGAAGGGGTGGAAGAAGGAAGGGCATTGGCGATGGCTGGCGCCATGTCTGCGAGACCATGCGTCATCAAAACTGTGAACTATCTCCCAAAGCAAACTTTGCCGTTGTCATTTCCGTCGTAGAAAAAGAATAACTCAAAGTTGGCGGACGCTGTGAAATAGGGCAAGACTCTGCAAAGTGATCTCATGCTGAGGAGCTAATAATATGGTGCCGTTGCAGCAGCAGCATAAGAGGCAAGGTCCAATTATCCCGCCTGAAAGCCGCTCTATTCAGCGCCCGTCAATTTTGTTTTCTTTTCAAATGTACCATGTACACCCATTTCGTTTAGCGCAAGAAACACTATAACCTGATGTTGGATTTAGTAGCGGGCCTCATAGGATATTCTATCTCCGAGTAGGAAACTAACACAACAAGACAAGAATGATACCAGCTTGAGGATGAAAAGTCACGAACAGTCTCCCATGAACATTTTGAAAATATCGACGCATGTCATCCGTGTCAGCCGCTAATAAATCTTCTCGCTGCAAGTGTCAAAGCCCGTCCCACTGCATCCTCGCTCATTAGGGCCATCGTGTAGACCCCAGCCATTCTGCGAGATGCACTCAACCGGGCCTTCGTTACACTCTTGTGTTCCATCTTGCTCAATTGCGATATCGAGTTGTTTGTACCTCTTTATCAGCGCCTTGTGCCTCTCATCGGCAGTCTCAGGAGCCCAGATGTGACAAGGATCTTTCTTATCGTACGCAATATTGTCTGGAGGTATGTGAGAGGAGATAAGAATATCGTCTTGGCGTTTAACTAGGCGATTTCATTCGGATTCGGCGTAATGAAGAGAGTCGATGTCACCCTTTAAATCGATCGGGATAGAACGGTCGTCTGAGTGAGCTACCGCAGTCGTCGCCACAGCTTTGACAGTTCTCGATTCGAGGAGGTGAGGGAGCAATCCGGGTCTCTTGCCTGGAAGGTTCGCCCTGACACGGTGCACGAGCGGTTGCCTGATAAGCCGCATAATGAACGTTTCTGTTCAATTCATTAAGGAAGAGACTTTGCCTCTAGGTAGCTGAGCCTTCATAAGTTACCGAATGCTGACCTCGACTTCGGTGCACCCTAAGCACGGTGGACCAGGGACGACGAAGTACTCCTCGCTGACGGAATGGACCTGGAACCTATCCTCTGCGTCGTGTTGGATGACGACGGGCCAAACTGCGTGGACATAGAGGGTTTAGAACGGAGTGCAGATTTTCATTTCTCGATGTCTTTGATGTAGTGCCTGGCCAAATGCACATAGTCCTAAGTGTGCCGGCAGCAGGGCCCCGTATGTCATGCCGGGTACAGGCGCTCGTTGTCCAGACTGAAAGGGCTCAAGTTCCACTGTGGCGTTCCAGCTAGCCATGTGGTATCACACTCGAACAACCCTGAGTTCAAGAACATGTCGATGTCTGACATTCCAGGTAGTCTATTCGAGTCTCCATCATCACCGGCTGGACTGAGACCAACGTCTGCTGCTCGGGACACATACCTAAATGCAGGACAGCGACTTTGGTGTGTAGCCGATTTCCGAACGGTCTTTTCCGGCCCTCCTGAGAATGCATTTGCGTGGACAGGCTGCCTGTCACTTGAGCTCAGAGATTTGGGGAGTGTTTTGAGTCGTTCATAGCTGCGCTTGACATTGATGAATATGGGGCACAGTAGGGAATATAGGTCGTGCCCTTTAGGCTCCTCGAGCGTGGATCCTGTAGCACGCTCCAAACGGTAGCATAGAAGGTCGAGATATATGTCCAGCTTGGCATCATCCCGAGCGACTCGAGTGTCCCATTCGGGGAGCCGGGGAATGCCCAAGCACAGACGATAGAGATAAGCTGTGTTGCATATCAAAGCCCACCACTGCAGAATTGACAACTTTGGGTATTCCTCAAGAGGCAGCGAGAGGAATGTCTCGAATGCTTTCGAAGCAGAATGCAGACAGAACATCAAACATTCTCGACGGCTTGTAGTCAGGAATATCTTTTCTTCCGAGTCACTCGACGGCGGCGGATTGCAGGGATTCAAAAGGTTCATTTCATGGCCATATGAAGCGGCGTACAAGCGTGCCAAATTCAGCGACACACATTCTGACTGCTCTTTTGGCTGGATCTTGTCCAGTGTCTCTTGAGACTTCTTCAGATTGGCCTCCATCTGACCTGGAGTGATCGGACTTGAATAATCAAATTTTGTGGGCAGGTAGGCACGGTGTTGGTCGTTTCCCAACACATGGGTTTCAAGGAGTGGTGCTATCATAGTATCTGTAACGTACTCGGGCTCATCTGAGAGCGACCGGGCGCATCGCAGAAGGTAGTCGGTGCAATGGAAGTTGCTCGGTTTGCACCATATCCAAGACGTTATTGTGGCAAGGCAATAGCATCCAACGTATGCACGTCTAGCAGACCTGCTGTAGAATTGATCACTCGTTGCATCAAGAAGTAACTGGTCCTCAAGACTCTGTCCTCGTTCAAGTGCGCTCAATGTGGCCGTTTCTGGAGGCCGGTCGAGTTTCAAGTCGACGCAAATGCTGATGGCGATCTGAAGTGTCTGGTAGAACTGCTGCTTGATAGGAATGTAGAAGAAGTGGTACCAGCCCAGGTAGACAATCAGGGCCATAAGGAGATCGATGCTCCTCTCGCCATCAATCATGACTGTCCGTAGGATTTGGTCTCGGAAGCTCTTTTCAAGCATTCTTTGTAAGTCCTTGTTCTCATCGGACGAGACCATGAGTATAGCATGTAGGGTGAATGGTTGGTTTGCTGCTAGTTCCTCGATCGAGACCTTTTCAGGTGTGAGGACGAATGGGGAATACGCGCACATTTTCTGGTATTTCGATAGATATGAAGCCACTTTGTCTGGCGCAAGGACGACGTTTCCGAATAAACGTTCTCCGGCAGGCATATGTTGCGTATTGCGCACGTCGTGGATGTTAGGCGTATTGGCGGTCGAATAAGCACACCCGACACGGCCGCTTGGATCCTCGTAAAGACCAGTACCAGAGCCAGTACAACCATTGGCACCACCAAATGATATCCAGCTCCCAGACGTGCGCGACCTTTGCAGATTTGCGTCATTTTTCGTCTCGAGGAGGCTGCTCTCGGGTTGCGCTCTCAATCCGGCCACTTTCGCTTGCCGCCCGGTCACGTTTTCGAGGTCACCGGGAATCCCCCGCTTCTTCCGTGGTTTCCCTTCCTCGAAGACGCAGCGTGCTCCCGATCGCTTGCACTTTTGGCAGATGTCATCCCTCTCCACGCAAGGTAGGCACCGGACCTTGAGATCGCGGCAGGGTTTACAAGCA